AGGCTCACAGTGGCCCCGCGCGTAGTTGTTTGCGGCGTCCTCCTTGCCCGAGATGAGCTGCTCGGGGTGGTAGAGCTGGCGGTACGTGCCCGTGCGGACCTCGTCTGTTGGGGGGGAGGAGGAGGAGTGGCTTCAGCTCAAGCCGCGCGATGGCAGGGGCGCGCGCATTGCAGCAGGGGCGCGCATCGGAGGGCGACGCGGGGAGCGGTGCGCGCGCGGGGGAGGGGCGGGACGCGCCGACGACGGTCGGCTCGAGGTCGATGAAGACGGTGCGCGGGACGTGCTTGCCCGAGCCCGTCTCGGAGAAGAAGGTGTTGAACGCGTCATCGCCGCCGCCGATCGTCTTGTCGGACGGCATCTGGCCATCGGGCTGGATGCCGTGCTCGAGGCAGAAGAGCTCCCAGCACGCGTTGCCGGTCTGGATGCCGGCCTGGCCGAGGTGGAGGGTGATGCACTCGCGCTGCGGACACGGGGAGGTCGTCAGTCGGCAGCGGTCAGAGCGCGTGCGGTCGGCGTGCGGTCAGGTGTGTGCGGTTGGGTGTGCGCGTGCGGTCGGGCGTGCGGTCGGGGCGCGTGCGGCGTGTGGGGATCTGGCGCGGCGCGGTGCGCGGTGAGTGTTGCGGGGAGGGGCGGAGCGCGGTCTGGGGCGCCGGGGCGCGCGTGGGGGCGCGCGGGAGTACAACCCACCATTGCCGTTGTGTGTGAGATTTGCCGCTCTGATCAAACGCACTGAATTCTTTTCGTGGCCGCAGCCGACGATCTGCTCGCACTAAGTTTTTTTTCCTTTGACCTCTTCTCCTGTGTTAATGGTTCGATCCTAGAGTCGAACTGGCAGCCACTCGCACCAAGGAGGCGAGGTGTGGCTACGTGACCCAGAAAAGGCCAGAGTCGGGAGCAACCCTCGAGGTGGGTCGCTCATATACTCAACATCCTGTTCATGAACACGTCCACTACCTTGGACATCCACGTCAGGCGATGTCGGAGCACCACAGCCAGCGCAGCAGCAGTGAGCTCCAGTCCATCAGCGAATGCAGCGATCAGGCCCTCATCCAAGGACACGCGACAGCGATGCAGGACTTCGACGCAAGCCGGCGCAGCAGCGAGTCTGGCGGACAAGGGCACGCGAAATCCTTGGACTACTCCGACCGCCAGACTGCACGTGGGCACCCTCGCAGTTGCGAGGCCGCCGAACGCAGCAGCGAGAGGGTCCGCGCCCAGCTCCGAGGCCGGATTGCCTCGGCGCGGCGAGTGCGCTGGCAGACTCAGGCGCTCATAGCGCTCGCCGGTGTCTTGCTCAACTGCTCGAGCTTAGGCTCGCGGTACTACTCCGCCTGTGGGGTCGCCGTCGTCTTTGGCCACACCCTCCTGCTGATCGCACTTCCATCGTCCCAGTCGCTCCTTCTCCGGTTGGCCAGCGCGTGGTACGCGGGTCTCCACCTTGCAACTTTGCGTCGGCTACACTTTGCGGACGAGGCGTGGGGCTTTCGCAGCCACGCCGGCTTGGCCCTCGCCGGCCTTGTCTGCGCCGCAGGCGCTGTAGTCACGGCCTTCCTCGCGGCTGCGCCGCGCATCCCGCCGCCAAAGCGCCTCAACTGCCTCATCGGCTGGATGCGGCTCGCCCTTGGACTTCGCGGCGCTGAGCTGGTGGCGCACGGGCTGTGCCTCTTCGGCAAGGGCGAGGTGGAGACTCAGGATGCCGCGTGCAAGCTCGCCGTCGCGGGGTCGCACCTTGTCTGTGCCTGTGTCCTGCTCGGCCCGCACGCGAGAGCACGCGCGGTCGAGCTGCTCACGCGGCTGGGCGCCACAGAGGAGGAGCGGGCGGCGACGCTCCTCGCCTCCGCCATCGGGCACCACCGGCCGTCCGAGCTGCTCCCGATGGCGGCGGCGAGCTTCCGCTCGGTCCGCTTCGACCTGCTGCGGCCCTCCGACCTCGACGGCAGCCACCCCGCCGCCTCGGAGGGGCGCGCGGAACGGTGCTCGCTCGGGCAGTGCGACGCGTTTGTGTCGCACGCGTGGAGCGACCCGGCGGGGCCAAAGTGGGACGCACTGGCGGCGTGGGCAGCCGACTTTGAGCGGGGGCACGGCCGCCCCCCCCGCCTGTGGCTCGACCGGCTCTGCCTCGCGGGCGACCAGCGCAGCGCCTCCGAGGCGCTGCCTTGCCTGCCAATCTACCTGTCGGGGTGCGAGACGCTGCTCGTCCTGCGTACTACGAGGCCTCGCTGCCTGTACTACGAGCCTCGCTGCTCGTCCTGTGCTCGGCAAGCCTCGTAACCAATACATACGTACTACGAGGCTTGCCGAGCACAGGAGCGGAAACTCATCCTTTTCCGGTCTACCGCCATGTGCGGCAAGGTGCTTGGTCCGGCTCGCTGCTGCCGCGGTGGGTCGCCAAGAAACGTCAGCGTGCGCCGCCGAAGAGTATCACTTGTCGAGCAAACGCGCCGCCGACCGCAGCCGCGCCACCTCGCTGCGCAGCGCCTACAAGGAGACGGCGGCGAGACGCTTCACCGCAGAAGGTTCCGAGAAGGTGTCGCCCCTCTCCGCCCAGCTGTCGCCTGCCGATCGTCCGCGAGCAGCTGGAGCAAGGCGCGGCGAGCCGTGCGTGCGGCGCGCCGCCGCGGCGTCTCCGTGTCGGTAGCAGCGGCAGTGTCTGCAGCAGCGGCAGTGTCGGCAGCAGTGGTGCTCTTGCGCAACTCACCCCAGAGCCCGAATGCAGCCACCGCCAGGAGGCAGACCGCTGCCGCCCGGCATGATGCCGCCAGGCATGCGGCCAGGCATGCGAGCCGATGCAGCTGCCGGGAGGCCCGCGGCCGCAGGGCATGATGCCGCCGCAAGGCGCGCCGCCGGGAGGGCCGCCGCAGGGCATGATGCCGCCAATGTAGACAATGTTCTGAGAACATACGAAGTGGAATCTGGCCTTGATGCGCCTTCACAACGGACGGCCGACAAACCAACACATGTACCTTCAGACAACGGCACTCAGGGCCTCAGCTGACCAGCCCTGTGCTGCGCATCGGCGCGAGAGCGGGCCTTCCGCTCGCTTGCGACTGGCCGTCTATGAGGACGACTCCCGCCTGCGAGCCCAGCCTCGTCTGCACGCGCTTGGCTGCAAACGGACGTCCCTTTCCGACGGCAAGACGCGCTCGCTCGCTTTGTCGTCGGGCGTCCGCCCGCCAGGGGTGCGAGGGGTGCGAGGGATGCGAGCCGTCTGGGCCGCGCTGCTGGTCTCGCAGGCGGCCGCAGCCGCCGTTGGACAGAGGCATAGCAGCAGATGTTCCGACCAAATGAACGGGAGAAGCGGGACTGGAGCATACGGGTACTCGAGTACCTTCCGGACAAGGTGCGCAACAAGCTCTCGAAGCGGCAGCACGAGGACGAGGCGAGCTGGTCGACGCGGTCGTGGCTGTCGCTGCAGGCCCAGCGCATGTCAGTCGCGCTGCAGCTCGCGGCGGCGGAAGAGATTGCGACCGAGCTCAGGCTCGCCGCGGCGTCGGAGGACGCCGCCGTCGCCTAGACCCCCCTGCGTCACTACGTGCCTCCCCGTCTTTGTAGCCTGGCGTTTGTGCCCCGTTTGTGCCGCGTCCCGTGCCCCCGAGTTCATTTAATATTCTCGAGTACCTTCCCCGATGGACCGGCTGGGAAATTCAATATCCCCGCAAAAACAGCGACTCTGGAAGAATGCATGGAATCGTGCGACAACTCGGTGACGCCAAGTGCGCCTGGCTTGTTTTTCATGACGCCATGTCTGAGTCTAACAGTCTGACAGCGGGAGTTGGCAATTGCGGGATTTACTATTCTGCTGATAATGGGTTGTCGGAACGCGTGTGTCAGGTGGGAGCGGTGAGCAAGAGTCTACGGAACCAATCGCTGAGAGGATAGGAGTGTGGCCACCCAGCCTGGTGTCGGCGGGTCGAGAGGCCTGATTCGTGTGTAGTTCCGATACCGTATACCCCGATTCGTTTTTCAGTTCCTGCTTCCTCGGCTCTCGCCTCTAGGTAAGGTAAGGTAAGGTAAACTTCTCCACACACACGAGGTGGTGGGGCAAGGGGGGGCGACCCTCGCGTCTCCACGTCTAACGACAGGAGCCCCACGGCATTTAAAGTGCAAGGCCCGGTGCGCGTGGGTGAGCGGTGTGTGTGTGTGTGTGTGTGTGTGTGTGTGTGTGTGTGTGTGTGTGTGTGTGTGTGTGTGTGTGTGTGTGTGTGTGTGTGTGCGTGTGTGTGTGTCACGTCACTGCATCCTCTGCCGGTTCCTCCCGTCGCCTTTTCTTTGTTCGAATGTTTTTCAATCCATCCTTCACGAAGCCCTCCCATGTAGCTAGCGTTCTTTGCGAATGTCTCGAGGTGGCCAGCAGGCGCTGTCTGCTCGCGGCCTGTGCGGGTCGCTCGTCCTCCTCGCGCTTCTTTCGTCCTCCCGTCCCTCCCCTCCACCCCATGGCCTCCTCGGCACTTCTTTCTCCATCCGCCTCGCCCTGCCTTTTCGTATCGTGCCGTTCGCCCTCCATTCGGTGACCTCCATGGCTGTCCGACTCTGTTTGGGTGGCGCTCTCGATACCGTTGCGTCAACCTCGACGTCGCTGTCGCCCTCCCCGTCCCCGTCGTCGCCCGTGCCTCGGTTCGCGTCATTGGTAGCGTTTCCGTTGCCCCCTCGTGTTCCGCCGTCGCCCTCTCTGCTCTGGCCGTTCGCGATTTTGCTCCTCCCGCGTGTCGCCCCTCCGTCTCCCCTTCCTTCGTCGTCATCGTCGCTGTCGCGAAAGCCCTCCGGTCCCTCGATTCCCTCGTCTATCCCCCCCGCTGCGTCGTCCCAGTTTATATCCTCATCCTCTGTGCGCGTTGTCGTTCCCTCCCCTTCTCTATCGTTGTCGCCTCCGTCGACTGCGGCGCTGTCTCTGCCCTCGCCTCCGTCCTCCTCGTCTCGCCTGCCGTCGTCCCGTTTCTCCTCGTCCTCGCCATCGTCTTGGCCGTTGTCTACCTGTCCATCGTGTCCCTTGTTGCTGGTGGCATCGCCGTTGGCTTCCTCTCTCCCCCTTTCCTCCCCGCCCCTCTCGCTGTCTGGTGCTAATGGACCCCCTTCCTCTCCCTCGCCACCGTCACCGTCACCATCCCCGTCGCTACCGTCCTCCATGCCCGCCGCCCTTTGTTTCACACTCGTCTCTGCCATGTCCGCCGTCGCCGCCGTCCTGTCCGCTGCGCTCTGTGCTCCGTGGTACAGTCGCTTATTGTTGCTCAGGATTAGCTCACGCACCAGGACAGCCTCCTGCTCGTTATTTTGGCTTGCCGATATGCATCCAAAGTTCCACGCTAGCTCCTCCTTCGTCACGTCTATCTCTTTGCATCTCCCCCTGCCAGTGCAAGACGAAATCGTTGTGCCCTCTACTTTTTAAAGCCGTACGACACACATTCACATACTACGGTTACGCGTCACGCTCACGGGTATGCCGGCCTAGGGAGACGGAAGAGGTGCGTGGGAAGAGAGAGGGCGCGAGCTAGACTATGTGGTACGAGACGTGGTCCTTGCCGAGCTTCTTACTGCTCGGGTCCTTCTTCACCAGCAACCCAACCCCGGCAAGGATCAGCGCCAGAGAGAGCAGCCAGCCGAGCCGGTGCCGCCGCGGAACCTGCTCGTTGAGCGCTAGCAAGCCTACGTTGTGAATACAACGGTGTGAATACAACGGTGTGAATACAACCTCTCCTGGGCCTACGCTGTGAATACGCCGACACGAGGGCGTGAATACGCCGTCTTCAGAGCACCGCGTGAGTACAACGGAGAGGAAGACAGTGAAGAGTACAGCGGAATGCGGGTAAATACAGCTGAATACGTGTCCTCTAGAAGCCGTCGTCCGCGCGAGCCTGTTGTGTGAATCGTGCGTGTGCGAGGGAGTTGTGTTGCAAGACTCTAGGGCCAGCAAGCCGGTCAGCACGCCGGTCGCGATAGTCACCATCGCGGCGTACGTGCACACCACAATCGCCCGCCCCTCCTTCATGCCTCGGTTCTGCGCAAAGATGCCGCTCGCAGAGAAGCCGACCGACGCCGCGATGCCGAGCGGGGCAAGGCCGCGCGCGGGTGCGCCATACTCCGCAACGAGCAGCTGAGAGAGCAGCAGGCCTGCTTCACAGGAGAGGGGTGTGAAGGGACGCCCTCCTCGGACCCAGCGCTGACTTCGGACTGCCGTCGCTGTCTCTCCCTTCTCGACTGTCTGTGCTCGTGCCTCTTGGGTCCGGGGTTGTGCTTTGGGTGAAGGGACGCACGCTCACGGCAGGGAGCGGCCGAGAGAGCAGCAGGCCTGTCCTCGCTGCGGCGGAGGAGAGGCCGAAGAGGAGCCCCGCCTGCCGGGCGGCATCGCGATTGCTGGCAGTCTTAGTGGTAGCCTCTTCTTGCCGAGAGGGCTACTGCGCTTGCTGCTCTCGGCTCCACCGCGGCTATATCTCGGCTCCATCTCGGGGAATACCTCGGCTACATCTCCCCAGCGACGCGCCTGCGCTCCTGCAGCGAGCTCCACTCTCCGCGCCGCCGCCGCCGCCGTCGCCGCCGCAGCGCTGGCCTCGGCCAACTCCTCCGCGCCGCCGGCGACGTTGCGGTGGTCTCGGTCTCGTGCCAGGGCGGAGCAGGCGCGTCGGATCTGTAGCTCGAGCAGCGCGAAGACGCCGCCGTACCTGCTTCACGGCCGGGAGGTGTGAAGAGAGTCTCTTCACACCTCGAGCAGCGCGACGACGCCGCCGTACCTGCTTCACGGCCGGGAGGCGTGAAGAGAGTCTCTTCACACCTCGAGCAGCGCGAAGACGCCGCCGAGCCCGCAGAGCAGCCCGAGCGACGCCAGTGTCGCCGGCAGCGAGTCCTCAAACAGCTCTGCAGTCAGTCCGACGCCGACGGTGCCTGCGGGGAGGGGGCTGAGGCAGGGTGGGGGCACGCTGCCGCGCAGTGTGCTTAGAGTGAACCTGCCCGCAGTGCAGTTTGTGAGCACGCTCCCAGCGACTGCAGTGCGGCGTGGGTGCGTGCTCCCAGACGTTGGCTCTGCTGAGCGGCTCGGAGTGGCATCTGGACGGCGGGAGCCTGCCATCGCCACGACGACGCCGGCTCGCTCGTTGGCCTGCAGCTCCTCGCGGAGGTAAAAGTGCGAGAAGACGGCGAGGATCGCCATCCCGCACCCCGACACGGGCTGAATCAGCGAGACGGGAGCCATCGAGAGCGCCGCGAGGAGGCAGAGCGCGCCGCCGACATCCGCCAGCAGCCCGATGCGCCAGAGTCGCGAGCCGGCGTACCTGGAGACGGAGGGGCCGCGCACCTCAGATAGATCGGCGCGGGCGCACTCGCCGCAGCCTCGAGCAGAGGCGCGGCAGGGGAGCCGCACGCACGCACCGTCGCATCACCGCCTTTGAAAGGGAGAGCTGCGGCAGGTCCTTTGTGGCCTCCTTCTGCAGCACCTTGCCAATGTTGTTGGCCGCGGAGCCGAGCACCGTCAGCAGGACGGCGAGCGCCGTCATTGATCGTGGGTTTGCTTTTAAGAGGATCTAGCTGGCTGCTCTCTCCCACAACGTGTCCGGCCCAGCGCCGACAGGGGTTCCAGCTCTCTTCTGGTAGGGTATCCAATGGCTCGACTTAATTATTAATCTTGGGTAACCTCGATTAGTATGAGTTAACCTCGCGTAAGGTATTCCACGTGCTCACGGCGTTTCTCAGTGACAGTGTTGACCGATGCGCTACCGGTTGGACCGCGAAGATGTAAGAAGCCGCGTCGACGAGGGCAGTGCGACCTGTGCGGCCTACTGAGCGGCGTGAGAGCGATTGAAACGACACGCCACCTCGCCCTCGAATGTCCATACACCACGCTGACCCTCGAGGCGGTACTCCGCGCAGTCCTGGAAAGCACGACCGTGGACGATGCCGTGCTAGAGGAGGTCCGGGGCATGGGGAGGGAGCAGCTAGTCCACGAATACCGCCGCCTCTGCATCACCGGTTTCCGTCTGACCACAGGCAGAGGACAGATGGCTGAGGGGCGCATTGGGGTGACGCCGACTTGCGTTATTATATGCTTGAGGACATTGCAGGCATCGTACGACGGCGCCACGGAACGCCCTCCTCGCGCCGGACAACACGCCGGACGTGCGAGTTGACACGATTTACAACGTCGAGGCGCGCCGAGCTCTAATCCGGACTTACGCCCACACCCGCCGCCGAGCTCTCGACGAGGAGAAGGCGATTCGCCTCCGAATCCCGGGCTGGCAGCCGTCGCCAGTGGAGGGGCCTGTTGCGGAGTGGGAGACGGAGTGGCTCGCCTCAGGTTTCTTTTCCAGCGAAGGCGAGTGCGAGCTTCCGGAGACGCTCAAATCTGTCCGAGGGGTGGCGGCAAACGGCTGCGCGGTAAGCACAGTCGCCCTCCTCTGGGTAGCGCCTCAGGCGTGAGGGGGGGCATGCCGGGTCAAGCTGAGACTAATGGTCGAGGCACCAGGGGTGTCGTTCTTCGCCCACAGCAGCAACTGCTCTCTTATCCTCGTCACAGCAACGAGCGGGCTCACGCGGAGTAGTTCGCACCGATAGCGAGTACGCGGCGGCATGCATGATGGGGCGGGTGACCCCCAAAACGAACAGACAGAGCTGGCGGGGAGCGCCTTCGGTCCCTTTGGCAACGCCTTCGCGCCAAACACACCGTGACGTGGAGACATGTGAAGGGTCACAGCGACAACAAATGGAACGACTACATCGACGAGCTAGCTACTCGCGGCAGGCAGGGTGACAGAGGCTCAAACGCTGCCGAGTGGGCGGACGACACCATCCCGACGGACACTCCCGACGATGTAGCATCCAGCGCCCACGGCCGCCTCCGGTCCCCCCATCCCCGTTGCCTCCTTCGCCGTTGCCCCCTCCGCCGTCTCCTTCGCCGTCGCCCCCTCCGCCGTCTCCGTCGCCGCCTCCGCCCCCGCCTTCGCCACCGCCTCCCTCGTCGCCACCATCTCCACCGCCATCTCCACCGTCGTCGCCTCCACCGTCGCCCTGGCCGTCGCCACCGCCTCAACCGCCGTTGCCACGTCCACCACCATCTCTGCCACCCTACACGCCGCTTCCAGACGGCCAGACCGTGCAGGAGGTGACAGCAAGCCTCATCTTGTTCGAAGTAACTCTTGAGGAGTCCATCGAGTCCTTCACCGTGGAGCGGCAGGCGGCAATCCGCGCGCGCCTACAGACAGAGCTCTCATGCTTTGCGCCCTTGTGCTATGTACAAGTCGCCCTGGCCGCAGGCTCGGTCAAGATCAAGATCATGATCACAGTACCCACTAGTCTCGGCAACGAGGCAGCATCAATCACCCACAAGGCTGAGCGATTGTTGGAAGCCCAGGGCTCATCGTCTCGACTGCCTGCCATCTTTGACGCTAACGTACTCTCTAACTCTCCCTCGCCGACGGTGCAAGGTGGAGTCATTGCTCTCATCCCAAGTGAGGAGGAAGATAGCGAGCCCAAGAAGTCGAAGTTCCCCCTCGTCGTTGTCTTAATTGCCGTCGCCGTGGCTGCCATCGCGATCGCAGCCGCCGCGATTGGTTTCGCCCTTTGCTGTTGGCGTAAACAGGCGACAGCCCGGGCCAGCTTCGAAGCCAAGGAACGTGTCTGAAATGCTCTTCTACATCGGTGATCGATAAATGCTGTACCAAACCGCCGACTTCTTGGCCGCCACCCAAACGCGTGTGGCCCATGGCTTGCGGGGGGGGCGGGCGGGGGGGGAGCACTTGGAGTGCAGTTGGCAACTGCAAGGACCGGGGAGCTAAGAAGCGCACCCAGCGGCCGGGTGGTACGCGAAGATTCTCTGTCGTAGTTGTAAAATTCTTTTTCCCAGGAAATTCTTTTTCGTCCCTTCGCGAAGAAAAAGGCGAAATTCTTTTTTTGGCAAAATTCTTTTCGCGGGCAGCGCGCATGGAGGCGAACCGCCCCGACCTCCTCGACGCCAAGCTCGAGGACCCCGCCGGGCCAATCCCCCAGAGCTCCCCTCCACCCGGCTTGCTCTTGCTCTAGCCCTCCCGGGACCGCTTCGCCGCAGTGCGCGCGGTCGGGCGAGGCAGCGGCCCGCGCCAGGACGAGTCGGACAGCTTCTCTTCGCACTCGTAGCCGTCGGCCGTGTAGCGCAGCGTGTGCGCCCGGCTCGCCTCGTCGAAGCGGAGCACCTCGGCCTTGTACCACGCGTCCTCCCCGTCCCAGTACACCTCGACCAGCCGCCCCACCAGCTCCTTCGCCCGCGACTTTGTCAGCGACGGCCCCTTCTCCGGCTGCCCCTGCGCCCTCTTCTCCGCCGCCTTCTTCTCCCTGCCCGCCGCGGCCGCCGCCTGCTCTCGGATCGAGGCGGTCTCTCAGCGGTACCTCGGCTGTATCTCCGCTGTATCTCGGCTGTATCTCGGCTGTATCTCGGTGGTATCTCGGCGGTGTCTCGGCGGTCTCCTGCGCCGCGTCGCCGCCGAGCTCGATCGCCACGGAGCGGCTCTTGCAAGGCACGCCTACAGAAAGAAAGAAATAAGACGGCCAGCCTCGGAGACGAGATGGGAGTCAGGGACATGCACATGCATACATGCACATGCACATGCATACATGCACAAGCATGTTGTAACATGTTGTGTGTGCATGTGCATGTGCATGTGCATGTGCATGTGCATGTGCGTGTGCATGTGCATGTGCATGTGCATGTATGCATGTGCATGTGCATGTGCATGTATGCATGTGCATGTGCATGTGCATGTGCGTGTGTATGTGTCCCCGCCCTGCAAGATCGTGTGCGTGAGGGATCTTCAACCCGTCCCCTCACCCCGGACCACTCCCCGACACTAGAAGAGCGGCGCGAGATGGGGCTAACGCACGCCTGCCGGCGAGATGTACTTCCAATTCCCGCTCTTGCTGCCGCCAGCGTACATCTCGACCACCGTCCAGCCCGCCGCCGCCGCGCCGGCCCACAGCTTCGCGTCGACCGCGGTCGCCTCGAGCGCCACCAGCCCGCCCTCTGTCCGCCTCAGCTGCGCATCTCCCGGCAGCGAGGGTCGCTCCGCCGCCTTGCGCGCCTTGCCGCCGCCGCCGCCCTTCGCCACCGAAGGCCTCCCGCCGGCTCCGCCAGCCGCCGTCGACGCAGCCGCCGCCGCCGCCGCGTCGCCGGGTCTCGGAATGGCGCCTTTTGTCTGCAGCGCCTGAATGCGGCTGCGGATCGCCCCCCAGCTGCGCTTCATCGCCTTCTCGAGCGGCTCCTGGCCCTTGGTGCCGTGCCTCGCCACCAGCGCCGCGAGCTTGCGGTCGTCCTCCTCCGACCTGATCACGGCCAGAGGTGTGAAGAGGCGCTGCTCACAGCAGCCGCTCGCAGCTTGTCGTCCTCTGACCATGGGCGCGACGAGACGGTCAGCCGCATCGCCTAGTTAATTAATTCATGGGTCCTCTAATTAATCAATCAATTAATTAACGAGACGGTCAGCCGCATCGCCTAGTTAATTAATTCATCGATGGGTCCTCTAATTAATCAATCAATTAGTTAACGAGACGGTCAGCCGCATCGCCTCTTTGAGCGTGTGCGTGTCGTCCTTGTCGTCGCGCGCCGAGGGCTTCTTCCGCGGCGGCTCCAGGCCTACAAAGAAACACAAAACGTATATTTCTTTTTTCAGGTGGGCGGGCTTCTTCCGCGGCGGCTCCAGGCCTAAAACAAACACGTGCCGCCCGTGTTTCTTTTTTCAGGGGGGCGAGCTTCTTCCGCGGCGGCCCCAAGCCTAAGAAGAAACACGTGCCGCCCGTGTTTCGTTTCCGGGTCGGCAGGCTTCTTCCGCGGCGGCCCTAGGCCGAGGTCGAGTGGGCCGGACCTGTTCACAGCTCGACGGTGTGAACAGCGCCTGTTCACACCTCGAGGTGTGAACGAGGGTTGGCGGGCGTTTACCCGTCCGCGGGCGGCGGCGGCGGCAGCAGCCCGGGCGGCGGCGGGAAGGCGCTCCCAACGAGGCGAGGGGTGCCCTTGCGGCGCGCGGCGAGGTCGTCGACAACGGACTGCTGCGTGAGCGACTGGCGCTGCCGCTCCGACAGGAGGTAGCCCTCGATGTCGGACGCGTCGTCGCTCTCGCCTGTCACCAATTAATTAATCCGAGTTCATTAATTTATTAAGGGACTCCTCGAGTCGGACGCGTCGTCGCTCTCGCCTGCGGCGTGCGACGCCACCGCGCCGCCGATCCGCGCCAGCAGCGCAGAGCGGGCGACGCGGTGCGAGTCTGACGTCTCCGGTGCATCGCCGACTTCCTCCTCGGTGCGCGAATACGCCACCGCCCGCCACAGCCGCCGGACCGCCGCAGCGCATAGAGGCGGCGGCAGCTTTCGCTGCGGCGCCTGGCCGCCCGCTGCGGCGCCGGCGGCGCAAGCGGCGCACGCGCGGTGTTCGTTGAGCGAGGCTGCAATCGCGTGCCAGTCGATCCGCCCCGTGTGCCGCGTGCAGACGTGCGCGTGCACCTCCCGCAGCAGCTGCAGCGCCTGCTCGAGCAGGCCGCACCCGTCGCTCTCGCCGGCGCCGTCGGCGTCGCCGCCGTCGGTGTCGGCGGCGCCCCGCGTCGCAGGCGTCGGGAGCGGCACCGGCTGTGTTGCGACGTTCGTCGGAAGCCGGTTCGAGAATGGGAGCAGGTACATCGAGTCGCAGATCAGATCGCCGCGGGCGGCGGGCGCGTCGTCCGAGTCGCTGGAAATCTCGCCGCCGCGCTGCGGACGGCGAGGCGGGTCTGGCCGACGGTCGGCCAGCCGCGCGATCTCCGCGGTGGTGCGCCGATCGCACATGGGAGCACCAAGATTGCGAAGCGCTTCGCGCCACGCTTCGCGCGCGAGTGATTTTTCTTCTTTTCTCACTTTGCGGAATATCTGGCTGTTGTAGGTATGTTGCGGAAGCCGCGAGAAGTTAATTCTTTTGTCGGGCAAAAGGTGCTCGCGGCGACGAGTTCGCGCGCCGTTTGCCGTTGCTCCGGCTCGGCCGCTTCTCTGCCTGCCAGACCAGATGGTCTTCGGGCAGGTCGTCATCGGCCCGCCCGGCTCCGGCAAGTCGACCTACTGCGAGGGCATGCGCCAGTACCTCGAGGCGACGGGCCGCAGCGTCAGCGTGGTCAACCTGGACCCCGCGAACGACCTGCTGCCGTACGAGCCGGCCGCCGACATCCGCGAGCTTGTGAGCGTGGAGGGCGCCGCGTCGGCGTGCGGCCTCGGCCCGAACGGCGCGCTGGTGTACTGCCTCGAGTACCTCGAGGCGAACCTCGACTGGCTCGAGGGCGCGCTGAGCCGCGCCGGCTCAGCGTCGTACGTGCTGCTCGACCTGCCGGGGCAGGTGGAGCTGTACACGCACTACCCAGTCGTCCGCAACGTGCTGCAGGGGCTTCAGCGGCGCGGCCACCGCCTGTGCTGCGTGCACCTCGTCGACGCGCACCATCGTAGAAGCGGAATACGTGATCATGTCTCCCGACCAGCGCCCGAGAGGACACGTGCTCCGCTGCATGCAGCCGTATTCGGCTGTACTCACTGTACGCAGGCCGCTCGTACTCACCCGGTACTCTGAAGACACGGCACAACACTGCATTCCCGCCCTGACGTCGGTGCTCCAGACCGTAGGCAGAAAGAAAGACAGAAAACAGACAACCCGAGGGAGGGGGATGGGAGGACGGCACGCCTCCACCACACAGGGATGTTAAGGAGAGGAGTGTGGTGCTAGCCGTCGCCCACCCTTGGGCGTCTGCCTCTTCCTATCTCTCCTCGCAGTCTCTCGCCGATTCTCGCAGCGACAGACCGCAGGCGCACCACTGCTCCGACGCAGAGAAGTTCTTGTAGGCGCACCACTGCTCCGACGCAGAGAAGTTCTTGTCGGTGCTGCTGGTCACGCTGTCAACCATGGTGCAGCTCGAGATGCCGCAGGTGAACCTGCTCTCCAAGCTGGACTTGGTCGAGGCGTACGGCCCGCTCCCCTAGAAACGGATACGTATTCTTGTATCCCAACCAGCGCTCGAGAGGACACTATTCTCAGCCGTATTCATCCGCATTCCGCTGTATTTACTGTACTCCTATCCGTTGTCTTCACGCGGTGCTCTCAATACGCTGCGTAATACCGTATTCCCGCCCTGAAGTTGGCGTATTCAGCACGTAGGCCCGCTCCCCTTCAACCTCGACTTCTACACCGACGTGCTCGAGCCGGCTAGGAAGTGTCTCGGAAGTGTCTTGGAAGTGTCTCGGAAGAGTCTAGGAAGTGTCTAGGAAGTGTCTATAGGCTTCTGCCCCACCTGCAGGCTGCCGCTTATCCGCCGCCAGCGGCGACAGCGGGGCCGGCCGACAGCGGCGAAGCGGCGGCGCCGAGGCGGCGTGGGCTGGAGGGCTTCGCGGCGCGCCACTTGAAGCTGTCTGCCGCGATCTGCGAGCTGGTCGAGGACTTTGGCTTGGTGGGCTTCGGCGCGGTGGCGGTGGATGACTCGGAGACGATGGCGCGTGCGCTGCGCTCGATCGACAAGGCGAACGGCTACTGCTTTGGTGCGACCGAGGGGGCGCCCGAGGGCGTCTTCGGCTGCGCGGCGTCCGACCTCGACGGGGGACGACGAGAACAAGAAAAAGAAACGCCGACAGGGAGAGAGCTGTGAACAGGCGGCCGACCTCGAGTGGGACGACGAGCGCGTCGGCTCTCTGCAGGAGCGGTTCATGGGGGGAGGCGGCGGAGGAGGCGGAGGAGGCGGAGGCGACGACGGCGACGACGGCGACGGCGGCGACGGCGACGGCGGAGGCGGCGGAGGCGGAGGCGGCGGAGGCGGCGGCGGCGATGGCTTCGGTGGTGGAGGCGGCGGAGGCGGTGGAGGCGGGCGGGCGATGGCGCCCGAGGAGAGGCACATGACTGAGGAGGACTTGTTGCGCGAATTCTTGCCTCCCGGCCACCGGAAGCTGCGGCGGGCCGGGCTGGGCGGCGACGGCGGCGGCGGGCCATTGGGGTGATTGAGAGAGCACAACGTGTCTAGCACCTCTTCTGGACAGGCCTCTACGGACACTCGACGTGCTAGGGCCGGCTCGCGTCATTGAACTATGTTTTGGACCATTTTCAATTTCTCACTTTGAGGAATGAGGTCTTTGGACTTTTTGCGAGGATTTGCGACTTTTGAGGTTACGGTAGTTGTATGCCACCGCCACCGCCGCCACCGCCTCCGCCTCCTCCACCCTCGACACCTCCGCTTTCGCCGCCGTCGCCTCCGGCCCCTCCGTCGGGCCACCAGTGCCCCCTCTCCGCAGTGCTCGAACTTTACCGGGGTATGTAAATGAGACCGGTGTTTATGTGGTGAATGGTGATATTTTGTTTTTGATTAACTTTGAAGTGGTTTTGGTATAGTGGTATGCGAAAGTGGTATGCGGAGTGTTGATTAGTGTGTAGCGGCTGTGGGTGTGGTCCCAGGAGGGGAAGCCATGCAAAAGTGCGGGTATTACCCTACCCGGGTATACCCGGATTTTTGCAGGTATACCCGCAAAATACCGGGCACATTTTGCCGATTTCGCCGATTTAGCCACAAAAATGCACTCGGACTCGCTTTGGTTTCCGTGAGGCAGGTAGGGTATGGGATATCCCAGGGACTCGACCACCTCACCACAGAAGAGGCGACGGCTCGCGCGCGGGAGATTAAGTTTGTCCAGGCCTCGCAAGCTGGCACATCGACTACCTAAGGGCTTAAAGGCATCACACTACAAGGAACGCGGCTGAGCTGACTCCCTGTAGGGGGCGCCTCGGTGAACCAGGGACTAGGATCTCGCGCAGACGACACAGGGCGTGCTGCGCCCCGCGCGATCCCTGGCACAGAGGAGGCTGGGCCGCTGAACTTAGGATGCCTGCGGAAGGCTGGCGAGAGCCGGCGACCCACACCCGCAACTCATATTTATCACAACAAGCCATTATGCCCCAACAGGCCCCACCACCCCACCCCTAGGCAATGTAGCGCACATGTCTAGTCCGGAGAGGACGGGGGGGGGGGGGGGTAGGGGATAGCACTGTGCCGAGTATAATTTTGGATTAAAGCAATTTTTTGCAAGAGGGAAAGTAGTTAGGAACAGCCTAACAAGCACAAGCAAGCACGTGCTCCAAGCAAGTGCTCCAAGCAAGTGCTCCAAGTGCTCCAAGTGCTCCTTCGTTGTAGTCTTATAGCCCTGCGACCGCGCGCACCCCCCAGGGCTAGGGCTACGTAGCCCGCAACCCGATCCCGAGCGCATCCGGCCCGCTAGGTGCCAGGGTGCGCTTCTCTTAGGACGTTAGCTCCCCGCGGCCCTGGATTCATACATACATACCTCGATATAGGCTCTAGATGAGGCTGCCAATCGCACTTCAAGATTAGTGCTCCAAGTGCTCATATTGTGCGCTTCTTAGCTCCCCGGCCATGGGGATGTGAGGTTACCAACCGCACTCCAAAGTGCTCCCCAAGATAGTATAGTCATATCGTGGGTTCGTGGCAGGAGGACGTGGGGGGGGCCCGGGGACGTGGCCGGCTGTCCCTGGTGTCTGGGCGTTAGATCCGCGTGTACACGGAGAGGGGGCGTTCCGCCGCTAGCTAGGGAGGGGGAAAAGGGGCCAACGCAAAGTGCTGGGGACCCTCTGTTTTCCTTTTTGTTTTCCGGAAAACCTTATACAGGCCAAAAGGTAAGGTAAGGTAAACTTCTCCACACACACGAGGTGGTGGGGCAAGGGGGGGCAACCCTCGCCACGCGTCTCCACGTCTAACGACAGGAGCCCCACGGCATTTAAAGTGCAAGGCCCGGTGCGCGTGGGTGGCGAGTTCGCGCTGCGCTAGGCTCACAGATGCGAGTGCGCTGCGATAGAAGAAAAAAACAGGGTCGAAACGACAACCGAAGGGAGGACTGTGTAGTGTAATCATGTGTCAAGAGGCTCAGAGCGAGTGCTGCCATGCTGCTGCTGCTGCTGCTGCTGCTGCGCTGCTGCTGCTGCGTGCTGGCCTGCTGCTGCTGCGCGGCGAGCGCCGTCGCCGAGGCGGGCCTCGGCGGAGAGCGCGACAATGCGGCCTTTTCCGCGACCCGCACAAAGAAGAGGCGCCCTCCGTCCGCCTCGACCTGCCACCGGCTTGCGTCGACCGACCCGGCCGCGTGCCACAGATCCCCCCTACCGCCGCGCGCGCCTGCGGCGTGCGCGCCAGCGCCGCCACGCTGCAGGTGCAGCGCTCGGCGCTGCCGGCCCGCCGCGCGCCACCCGGTTGGAGGGCATGTGTTTGAGTATTTTACAACAAGAAAACACGCGGTCTCTCGCCGCACCGTCTCTCGGGTCTCTCCACGACTAGGTCCAGCCCTGGGTGGCGCAGGTTGTGACATTTGGCGATTCCGCGACTTACTGGGCCCCTGAGCCGCTACCCGTGTGCGATTTTTTGTGGCCCGGACATGATACTGATAGTAAACGGGTCAGAACCGGCCAAACACAGGCTACAGCCCCACACACGCGCCCGCCATAGCTCCTGGAGAGCATGCGCGAGTGACGCGCTGCAAGCCGCGAGAGTGGCATCAGAGGCAGGAACGACGTGCTCTTGCTGCACCTCGCAGCTGCACCAAGTGTGCTCGCAGTGTATGCCACGGCCACTGCCTGCGGCATTGCTCTCGTGCAGCTAGGCGATGCAGGTCCATCAGCAGGGCTCATCCAATGCGAGCGCACATTGTGCGTAGCCGCGGGCAGGTGGCAGTGCACAGCCGCACACCGGCTCTGGCGGCTCGTATGCCCCCGGCAGTGCTGCTAGTCATCAACTTGCGTATTAGGGCCGCAGCAGACTGCTGCTGTGGCAGCAGCAGCAGCCTGCTGCTGCCTGATTCAGTCAAGCCAGCGGTGCAGCGAGGCGTGCAGAATTCGCGCGGTTTGGTACCTCCTGAGGCTGAGCGCGTTCAGACTCGGTGACCGGAGTTGGATGGTCCGATGGAGCTCGGCGAGCTCCATCGGACCATCCATGGCCGGACGGCGGAGCGTGAGGTGGCGAGCGGAGAGATGTACCGCAAGACCAAAAAAACACGGATCTGTCATCTGACGATTGTCATCCTGGTGCCGCTGCTTGGCCGCCGCGCTCGCACTCGCTCCGCTCGATGCCATCGTGAGGCTGCAACGGTCTGCGAGCTCCTTTCGCCCAGCGGGTCCACCACAGAGTTCTCCCAGTCATGTGCCCAAATGCGCCCGCCGTTTTTCGTCATACCCCCCCCCCTGGAAACCCGCCGACTTTGATTGGGTCCGGTTCAACCTCACTCTCATCTTTATACTTACAGATACAAAACGTCAGATCTGCGCCACCCAGGGCTGGACCTAGTCCCACTCTCGCGCGCTTGCTGGGTTGCTCACTTGGTTGCTCTCACCTCTGGAGACCTGAGACCTCTCTCTCGCCGCACCGTGCGGCTCCCGCACACACGCCACGGCTCACGCTCTCCAGTGATAACAGTGGCAGCGGCGCAGCGCGCGCGCGGCGCGCGCGACGGAGGGGCGGAGCAGCGACCGCTGGCGCGGTGTCGCTGCTCCGTCTGTCAGCCAGAGACGCGCGCTCTGCCGCTCCACGCCCGGCTGCTCCCTTGCCCCGTCACCCGCCGCGCCCTCGCCCGGCCGCCTCACCGCGCACGGAGCGCTCGGCTGCTCGCCGCCGCCGCCGCGCGTCCCGCGCCGCCACGCTTGCCCCCACCTTGCCTGACGCGCGAGGAGAGGTAGGAGGTGCTTGCCGCGGCCGGCGAGCACTCCCGCGCCTGCGGAGGGGCAAGGCCTGAGGGCGGGCGGGCGGGCGGGCGGGCGCGGGTGGATAAACGCTGCGCCGCCCCCGCACAAGCGACACTGGCCGCGGCTCGCCGCCACGCGCCGGCTCGGAAGAGGGGCTGTCGACGGCACAGCAGCGGCACGCCTCGGCGCTCGAGCCGCCTACAACCCCCCACCTCGACGTGACGGCCGTTCCCAGGGCCGGCCGGTGCGCGCCCGACCCACGCCCCCTCTCGCACCCCCCCGACCCCCCTGCGCGGCGCACCCGTCCGCTGTGCGCCGGCTCGAGCGCCTATTGCCAAATCGCGACGTTTGAGCGCAGCGCACGCGTCCCACACGTCACGCGCGCGCAGGAGAACGTGCGGCACAGCAGTAGCGTGTACTCGCTGAGGGCATCGCGCCGAAAACCCCGCGCATTCCGCCCCAGCAGAGGCTGCAGCCTCTGCACAAGCTACACCACTGTAAGAATGGTGAGTACTTGGGGTTGAGTGGGCTTGCTTGCTCCCTCAGCCGGGAGCAAAAATGCAAGAAGCCGGGAGCAAAAATGCAAGAAAATTGTCAACATTTTGCGACACCATCATGCCCATAACCAGGCCGGCGTAGGCTAGCCCGCCACGATGCGCCGCGCGCGAGAGCGCCTCCGCATCGCAGCGCGCGCGCCGACGTGCGCGCCGGCGACGGCAAACACGTTCGAGAGCCAGAGGGACGCGAGCACCGACGAGGCCAGCGACGCTCCTGCGGCGGCGCCGACCCACACATGCATCAGGAGCCGGCGGAATCTTGCCGGAATGTGGCCGCAGCACTAGCCTCCGGCGGGCCTCCGGCGGACGCCTGGCGGCGTGGCGCTGCGCGCCGGCCTGCGGCCCAGGACCTATTTGACCGCTCGCTAACTATCTGACCGCTCCGAATTCCTTGGTTGGCCCTCGCAGCTGTGATACAAAAGTGGGGACGCGCGTGGCGGCGCGCCCCCAAAAAGTCCTGCAGCCGAAGTGCACCCAAGTGCTGCTGCCTGGGAGACCCGTGTTATGGCCCTGCGAACGCGCACCCCCAGGGCTAGGGCTCTCTAGCCCGTAACCCGATGCCAATCGTCCGGCCTCTGCCCTCTGCCCTCTCCCCAAAAATAAACGAAAGAAAACGGACAACCCAAGGGAGGGATGGGAGGACGGCACGCCGCCACCACACAGGGATTTTAAGGAGAGGGGTGTGATGCCGCCCACCCTTGGGCGTCCGCCTCTTCCTATCTCTCTTCGCAGTCTCTCGCAGATTCTCGCCGGGTGCGCTTCTTACGCGTCTTCCGCTTTCTAGCGAGAACCACCTTCTGTGGTCACCGCATGCGAAGCAATCGCGCCGTGCGTCGCCGTGCGTGCGTGTGAGCGCCCCTGAGCAACCCTCCCCACCCCACACGCCCACCGGCGCACCCTCGGCCCGCACACGCGCCCTGGCGACCCACAGACCTCCCCCGCCGCCGCGCGTTCGACGTGGTGCCGAGACCGCTCCGGCGGCATGACAGCCCCTGCTGCTTCCTGTCGCAGGAAGAGCCGCGGACGGCGCTGATCGTGCGTCCATAGAGCCAGCTCCGCGCGATGCCGTCCTTCCGGGCGACGACGCTCGCCTTCTGCAGGGCACACGGTGCGGCGCTGCGCTGTCGCGAGCGCGCCGCCGACATTCACTCAGATTCGCCGAGCGCTGCGCGGCTGGCTGACGCCGCTCGCTCAGGCGGGCGCGGCTTGTAATCCCTCGGCGCCGGCGACATTGATCCGTACAACGTGGCCGGACAAGGCCACAAAGCTTCCACGGGCGGGTGAGGCGCCGGTGATCCTAGCTAGCTGCCCTGCTGCTGCGATCGCCGCTGCCGCTGCAATAGCCGCAGGCGCAGGCACGACGACCATTATTGGACCATCCACCGGTGCGGCGAACATGTGTCTCGGTGCCCTCCCGCTCGTCTTGTTCATACTCCATCGCCAGGCGCACTTCCGTCCTGACGCTCCCGCTGCTCGCGGCGCGGCGCCGCGGTGCGCAGGCGCGCGCGTGGCCACAGCTGAGAAGCCGCGACTGCTCGACGGCGCGCGCCGTACTGCGCCTTTGGGGCGCGACGGCCGTCGAGCCGCGTGACACGCTCTCCACGGCCGCAGCGACCCGGAGCAGCGGCGGCGACGAGGGCGAGGGCGAGGGCGAGGGCGCTCTCGGCTCGGCTAGAGCGGCCGAGAGGCAGTGCGGTCGCGCCTTTTACCGCGACCGCCGCGCCGCCACAGCGGGCGAGCTCGCGCGGGTGTGGCGGGGGCGAGGGGTGCCACGTGGCGGGGGCGAGGGCTGCTGCGGCCGTCAGCGTCAGTCTGCGTGTCGGGGCGCGTTCGCCCGCGTACGGCTCAGACAGGCGTCGGTCGCCGCCTCCGCTGCACGCGGGGCGTTGCGCTGCGCGAGAGCCGCCTGCAATTGCTAGCCATGTGCTTGTTTCACGGCGGCAATGGGTCACGCTCACGCCTCACGGGTGTGGGGCACGCTCACACGGGTGTGCACTCTCGCTACCATTTTTCACATCTGCTGGTTGGACTAACGGCGTATTCTGTCTCATAAAAAGTCTGCTCCTTGGTCAGAAGGAGCCAACTCTGCCTTAAACTTTGATTGCTAGAGGGAATGCCGGCCGGAAAGCTAGCTCAAACACGGAAGAAAAACGGCTTCGCGGGCACTTGTGCACAGGCGTTTCGCGGACGGACGCGCGAATCGAGTGGCTGTGTTTGCGTTCGGTCGCCGGCGCTGTTTGTGGGCCCGCATGAGCAGTTCTCGCCGACGCTCCGGGGCGAGTGCGTCCAACGACACGCCCACGGTGCGCACACGCGCGGCTCAGCCGCGCACAGACCTGCCATCGCCTCTGCACGCTCGACGTGCTGCCGAGACCGCGCCAGCAACATGACAGCCCCTGTTGCTTCCTGTTGCAGGAAGAGCCGGTGCGTACGGTGCTGGTCGTGAGTCCACAGAGTCAACTTCACGTGCTGCAGTCTGACAGGAAGTCAACGCTCAACTTCTGCAACGAATATAAGCAGCGGCATAACTACTTTCGGAAAATGGCAGTGCACGAGACCCAAGAGAATGCATCGCTCTGGGTGCTCCTGTCAAGGGCCAGGTGGATTCGGAACGAGAAGTACGGCGCGGTCGTCGCGGTCGCTGGGCCAAAGGCGCTGTTTGATCACCAAGAGACCATTTGTCTCACCTCTGGCCTGCCGGTGGCGTCGATGAGGTTTGGCGACCAAAGCAACGTGGGCCACCTTCTCAACTCGGTGCCTCGCGAGCATCTGTGCACCCGTCATCTCGCAAATGTTTTCACGGCAACCGTGGCACTGTAGGAAGGGATCGGCGACCGCGGCCGGGGAGGCCTCGGTGGCTGGGTCGCCATGAAGCAGCCCGAATGGGCAGAGCGGCTCTCGGCGGCAGATGGGCTGACCCCGTGCGACAAGTGCGGCCACCCAACGATGGTGCTCGTCTTCGATGAGTCGGGTTGCGTATGGAGGAACTCGCCGGCAGCCGAGGCCTGGAATCTAGCGCCAAATGCCGATGTCTCGCTCAACGAGGGGTCGGTCGACCGTGAGATTGACCAGCTCACCGGCCAGCAGCTCGAGAACTACTTGGAAGCCGACGAGGTGATGGAAGAGGCGGGCGAGGAGCAGGACTCCCACGACGGCACCGAGCCCTCAGGCTTCTACCAGGAACTTCTCGAGGTGCCTCCTCGCTGCATCTCCCCCTTGCTTTTTTGCCTGCGCTCACTCTGTGCTGCCCTCTTGCAGGCAGTTGAAGAGCTGCCGCAGAACGGCGAGGGCGAGGAGGCGCTCTTGTCCACATTTCCTGTCGACTCGCTGAGTCCCCTCGCCGCCGTCTCCCGCTCCAAGATGGAGCTGATGTCCGATTGGTCATTCCGGGTTTGGCGGCAGGGGCTGCCTCGCGAGCTCGCCCTTCGCGCCGTGCTTGGGCCGCAGATGCGTGCCGAGCTTGATCGGGTTTGGTCCCAGGTGCGGCCGCTCTTTGCTGCGACCGGCTGCAACCCGTTGCAGTTGATGTCCTACATGGAGCGCCAATTCCCGTACGAGTACAATTTGCTCGCCCACGCGGCCACCGGCGTCGAGCGCCACCATCTCGTGCAAAGCTGCATCGACTCGCCGCTGCCTGGCGACCACACGATGATGACCGAGCTGGCGGGACGCTTCACGGGACGCATCATCTTTGCGATAGCGGGCACGTCCTCGCAGAGGGAGCGAGAGGACCCGGACACTCTCTCGCCGACCTATGTGCAGAACCACGCGAATGGCGCCCTGATGCGCGAGATCTCGATGCTGCACTCCCTCCAGCCGCGTCTGCTCATGCCTCTAACTTTTTCGACCTCTACGCTCACTCGTCTTCCGAGGAGGGCGAGCTCCTCATCACCCCGGAGCTCGACGCGCCGCTGCACCAGTGGTTTCAGGCACGGCAGTACCTGTACAACTCCTCGGGGCTGCTTGACGCCGCCACCATCTCGTCGGCGATCGCCACCCTCAACGCGTTCCGTGATGCAGTGCGGAGAGGTCATCTCCAGGCGAGACTTGGGGCGCTTGATGAGGCGCAGCTGCACGCGGCTATCGATGAGGGGATGGGGCGATTTGGATCGGCATTGAGCGTGCTTTCGACTCTGCTGAGCAACACCGACACGCACCACCTCTTTCTGCGGGTCACCTTCACGCCAACGTGCTCCAACTGCCATGAGCTCGCCCGCCCGCACTTGGTCCAGCCCTCTAACGACGAGTGGCGGCCGCTCATCTTGTTGACCACGCAGGAGCTGTATGCGGCAGGTGGCAACGTATTGGCAGCGCTGGACAGATCCTGCAGCACTGTGCGATCCACGCGCTCAAATATGCGCTGCGCGCAATGTGCGGGCACCCTTGAGCTAGTACCGCACACGAGCTGGCCTACGACACACGTCGGGGCGGGCCTGGCAGCGGCTGGAGGAGCCGCGAGCAACAGTGATAGTGGCGTCCCCGCACACAGCGATAGTGGCACCTTCCCTCGGCTCATTGCCCTCGAGCTCCCCGAGCGCGCGCCAGCCACCTTGCAGCACAGCCTCCCTCAGCAGCACTGCTTTGGCACTGGATCGGCCGCGGCAGCTTCGTTTCGACTCATCGCCGTCCTCTACTATCTGGACCAGTGTCACTTCATCGCCTACGTCCTTGACCCGCGCGAGCTCATCTGGCTCCGCTATGATGGCATGCACGCGAATGGTTGTGGCACGCCCATGGCCGCTCCACACGGCCGCATCCAGCACAACGGCGCCGAGTACTCTCCTGTCGCCGCAATCTATGTTAGGCGCGAGGAGGGCGATCGAGGCACGGCCGGCAGTGGTGCGACCGCTGCGGGCGCCTCGCGCTCGCCGCCGCGGCTGCTTCGCCAACGCAGACAGGCGAATGTGTGGAGCAGAAACTCATGTTACGTGGACTCGGCACTGGTAGTGTGGGAGCATATCGAGCGTTGGCTGGCTGTGGCGATGTGAGCTCCTTTTTTCTGCATGCGTACACAAAATGGCATCGTGTGCGCGAGCGTTTGCGGCGAAGCGCGCTCCTGACTCTCGTCTCTCGGGTTGCTCGCTCACGCACGAAACCTCAAACCACACCAATCACACACCGCGCAACGGGCTCACCAACCCTGCGAACGTGCTCGGCGTTTCTGCCCACGTTGCGGCCCGGGCTCGGGCTCGCTCGCTCGAGCGAGCTCCCGCTGTTGCCTCTCAGTCTCACGCGCCTGCTGCAGCCTCTCCAGCTCCCGTCGCTGCCGCCTAGCCTTTTTCTCCGCCCGCCTCTGTTCCCGCGCCCGCGCCCGCTTCTTCTCCTCCTCGCGGGCCATCTTCGCCTCCTCGGCCGCGATCTCGATCGCCCACAGCGACGTCGCCGCGACCTTCTCCGCGCGCCTCGCCACCTCCGCCTCCTCGCGGTCAGTCGCGCGCCTCAGCTCGAGGAGCGCCTCGTTGGGCACGCCTGCCTCGACGAGAGTCTGCGCGGAACCGTCGGCCCTGAACTCGCACAAGCGCTGTGCCGGTCCGTGCAGCGGCGCACTGCTCGGCCCGCCAGCGCGCCGCTCCTCAGGCCGGAGCCAGAGCTCGGGCCGGCGCCCGAGGAGGTCTGCGCGTCCCGGCATCACGGCTTTTACCTCGCCGACCGTGGTCATGATGCCGACGGGAAGGAAGAGCGTCTCGGCCCGCGAGACGTCGGGCCTGGTGATACGCACGACCCGCTGCCCGCGATCGCGGTACCCCTTGAGGATGGCGACGCGAGCGAGATCCTTGACGGAGAACACGACGCCAGCGCCGGGATGCGCTGAGCGGGGCAGCCCTTGGAGGTCGGCGTCGGTCAGGCCGTACTCGCTGCGGGCGCGGACGATGCCGAGCTGTGCGACGCCGGCGGGAACGAGCAACTCGAGTCCGAGAGGCGCAGAGGACGATGCCATGAGCTCCGCGCTGTCGTCGCTGGGCAGCGTGGCGACGACGCCACCAAGCCTTCGCAGATGGCGATAGTGGCGACGTCAGCGGTGTCGAGGACCAGCGGACACCTAGTGGGACGCCTGTGTGTCAGAGGAGCGCGTCCAGAGCGCGTCCACACCGCACAGGCACAAGTGTGCGTGCGTGCGGCCGAGTGGCGGCGCGCTCGCGCGCGCGCTGAGGGTGGTTGAGGTGAGATTGACCACCGAGCGCTCGCGAGCGGCCGCGGGGAGGGTCCGTCCACGGTCTCTGTCCTCTAGGAGTCGCGCGGGCGGCCAGGGAGCGCGTGGGAGGTCACCGCATGCGAAGCAAGTCGGCGCGGGGTGCTCGCTCGCAAGCGGTGGAGGCGTCATCAGCGAACCTCCGCCCAGCAAAAACTCAGGACCCGCTGACGGTGACAATCGTTGTAGGCCGGCTGAACAACAATAAGGAAGGCCTGGCAGTGACCCACGACGATCTCCAGCGTCCAGTGCGGGTAATACCCGAAAATACCTGGAAAATCCCGGGGGTATTCTCGGGTTTTACCCGGGTTTTTTGCCGTTTTCTGCTTGCTGGCCGCTGAACAACAGTAACGCCCCCCACAGCAAATCGGTTTTTGCCCTTAAATAGTGCGATTTCCCACCACTGCCAAGCGAAAAATAGGCCATCAAAAATCGCCAAAAATCGCACTAATCTCGACGCGCGTTTAGGTTAAGGGCGCGTCGAGATCCAAAACTCGACGCGGCCACCTCCAAGCCCGAATCTGGCCCAGGGCCCAAAACCTACCAAGGCAGGCGTCGGCTTTCGCCGCTTCCGTTTCCTTGAGCACCAGGATGACAGAACTGGCCGTTGCCAGACTAGGGACTATTATGCGCCTCGCCGAGGCGCACAATAGTCCCCGTCAGCGCCACGCGCGAGAGCATGTGTCCAATGTGCAACGCGGCGGCGCGATCAGTCACGGGACGACCGACGGAAGCCAGATAAGCCACAAAACTCGCTCTCGCAGAGCAGGTTTTCACCGATTTGCTGTGGGCGTTGGCTGAAAATAGTGCTCAAAACCGACCAAGTCAAGCGAAAATCGGCCCAACGAAAACAGCACTAGTTAAGGGCAAAAACCGATTTGCTGTGGGGGGCGTAACAACAGTAACAAACAGTAACAGCATGGGCTGGGATGAACACTTGAACAACGTTAAGGATTTCAGCCAACAATAGTGCAACTGTTAGGCCCAAAGTTAACGTTTGACAGCTCTAAGAGCAGCAGCTCCGCCGTCAACTCGCGGCGGCGCCGCTCGCCGCCCGCTTCGCGGCCCCCCTGCCCGCGACCCGCCTCTCGGCGGGGTCGAACCCGCCGTCGGTGGCGAGCGGGTCGTAGACGGCCCACGACGGCGTCGGGGCCGCGTACTCGGCGGCGGTGAACTCGGTGCCGTTGGCCTGCCAGTCTTGGTACAGGTCGAAGAAGCGCTCGTAGTCGATCCACGTGTGCCAAACGCCGTCGCGGCAAAACGCGTCGGCGGCGATCAGGACGCAGTTGGAGTGGGCGTGCTCGGACGCGATGGTGTAGCCGGGGCCGGCGGCGGCGGCGAGCCGCTCGCAGTAGGCGCGCACCTCGTGGTGGAAGGGGCACTCCTTGATGGTTAGGGGCGACGCCTGTGGACCCACGGGGCCGGTGTGAGCAGGAGACGTGGAGAAGAGGCGCGGTCGACTCGTGCGCGAGGGGCGAGGCCTTCGAGTCGCCGCAGTAGGTGACGCCCTTGACCTCGATCAGGTCCGGCGCGCCGCGCCGCACCAGCTCCGCGTACGCATCGAGCTCGGAGTCGTTCCAGCCGTTGACGAGCGTCAGCCGGAAGACCGTGCGCTGCCTATGCACTCGCGCCTCATCGTCAGTCGCTGTCACCCGTCGGGAGCGTGGCCGGAAGAGCGTGCGCGTGCCGCTTGCGCGCGAGCAGGCCGACGCACTCGTTGAACCGCTCCCAAAAGTCGGAGAAGAGCGGCCGGTCCACCGCCTTGAGCTGCTCGCGCGTGGGCGCGTCGATGGAGATGTAGAGCTGCGTGCACGGAACGAGCTGCTCCATCTCCTTGGGGAACTGCGCGTTGGTCACCATGAAGGTGGAGATGCGGCGCCGGTGCAGCTCCGCGAGAAACGCGTTGATGCGCGGGTAGATGATCGGCTCGCCGACCAGCGAGAGGGCGCAGTGGCGGACGCGCCGGAGGGCGTCCTCGAGCCGCTCGGGCAGGATGCCTACCCGCGCTCCACCTCGGTCCACCCCGGCCCAGCCTCGGCCAGCCTCGGCCAGCCTCGTCCCGTCTCGTCCCATCTCAATCCCGCGTCGTCTCGAGCCGCTCTCTCTCTGGGGGGGGGGGGGGGTAGTGCCTGGCACGCCGCGCAGCGACTTGACCATCTTGAGGTGCTCACGCTCGAAGCCCTCGACGAGCTCGTGCGGGTCGTCGACCTCCCAGCGGAAGGAGGTGCCGACCGGGTTGTCGTGGTGCCGCCAGCAAAAGACGCACTTGTTTGCGCACGCGAGGGACGGTGTCGCCTCCATGCACGAGTACGAGGCGATGCCTATCAGATACTACTCACAGCTGCCGCACTCCGCTCGCAATCCCCTCCTCCTTCTTGCGGCCAGCAGGCGGGCGGGGAGGAGGCGCCGTAGAAGGTGTGCTTGTAGCAGCCGCCCCGCCCGCGCAGCATCGCCTTTGTCCACCGGCACAGCTTGACCCCCGAGTGCGAGCCGACGATCTTGTACCCCTGCTTCGTGAGCGACTTGCGCAAAGACTCACTCACCATCTTCTTGCGACCCTCGCCTGGAGCGCGAGCACGCAAGGCTTGAGGCTGCGAGCACGGCATCGCGGACCGCACTCTTGCCGACTCGCGGACTCTTGCCAACCGCTACGCGTGCGTGTCGTCTCGCGCTCGCTCTTCCACAACGGCGCTGTGCGAGGCATACGTCGCACATCTAGAGCCCCCTCGCCGCCGGCCGCCGCCGCGCGCTTGCTCATCCGCGCGCCCAGGTCCTCGACGTCCACCAGGCCGCCTATCAGCCAGCCATTCATCCATCCCTTCGCAGAGCCTCGCAGGGACGCGCCCTCCGCTTGCACTGTGGTGGACCGCTGTCCGACAGCCCGCCCTGATCTGCATCCTCCTCCTCCCCGTCCTCCTCCCCCTCCCCCTCGTCCTCCTCGTCCCCGTTCTCGTCCTCCAGGCCGACGGCGCGGCCATCCTGCCCGCCCGCCGCCTGCTCCGCCCCCGCGCTCCCATCCCGCGCCGCCCCCCGCTTTGCCGCAGCGTCTGCGCCGCTTCGCGGCCTCGCCGCCGCCGCCAAGCTCGGGACCGCGCGCGCGCTCCACTCGCCAAACTGCTCCGAGAGCCGGTTGTCGATGTCGTCGCCCCAGCAGGAGCGGGCGACCCGCACCCCCCCGAGCCGCCGGATCGACCCGTCCAGCCGCCGCGCCGCCGCGTTGAAGTCGCGGCGCGGGTACTCGGAGTTGCCGCACCCAAACACGCTGAATCGCAGCGAGCGCAGGTCGAGATCAGTGCCGCGAAAGTCTGCGGCGGCGCTGGCGAGCGAGTCCACCGCCGCTTCGCACCCCGGGGGCGGCACGCCGCCCTCGTACGTGGCGATGACAAACGCGGCGCACTCCAGCGACGTGAGGCCGTCCGTGTCGTACCCGATGAGGCTCACCGTCTCGGCGGCGACGCCCGCCTCGCGCAGCGCGGCGGCCAGCCGCTCGGCGAGCCGGCGGCTGCCGCCCTTGAGCGTGCCGTAAAACACGACCACCGGCTGCCTGCCACTGGCGGGTCGGCCGGCGGCGGCGGCAGCGCTGCTGTCGGCCGCTGATGCTGCAGCGCTGGCCTCGGGCGGGGACGGAGCGGCCCCAAAGATGACGTACACGAGGGTGAGAGCAAATATCGAGAGAGCGGCTAGGAGGGGTGCGGGCAGCAAATCGAGGCGGAGCAGGCTCATCAGGTGGCCAGGTGAGAGGGCGGCGCGCCCGGCAGCTGTGCGGCCCGGGGCCCAGCGCCTGCGGCTCTTTTTTTTTATAAATAAAAAGAAAACGCCAAAGCTTCTCAACTGCGCCCACACCTCAAAACAACTACCATGGAGACAACTCCCATGGTCCATGCCACACTACTTCTGTAACGCCGCTGCAGGCACGACGCGCCGCGCTCACTCGTCCTCGGCCGAGATTGCGATCAGGTGCATCTCGGGGCGCGGGAAGAAGGGCAGCGCCTTGAGGCCGTACTGGCCGCAGTGGAGCGGCACCTGCCGGCCGGCGGGCGCGGGGAGCGTTGGGGGCTAGGCAAAGGGGCAAACGGCGGCTGGCGAGCGAGGGTCAGGTGGGGGCGGCGCCTGCATGCCAGAGTGCTCGGTGCCGCGGCAGATTGCGGAGGCGCTAAAGTCGAGCTCTTCTCGGACCGCTCTCACCAGGTCGCCCAGCGTGAGCTCGGCCGAGAGCTGCAGCGAGCCGAGCAGCGCCTGCGACGCCGCGACGCGCACGCGGTGTTGGGGCACACGGCGCACGCACCTCTCCCGCGTGTGCCGCGCCGAGAGCGCGCGCGCTCTCTCTCTTCTCTCTGCGCCTCATCGCAGCACTCGGTGTGGTACACCATGAGCTCGCGCTTCCCAGTGCTGCCGAGCGAGGCGGCGAGCCCCTCCACCGAGAGGACCGGCCGCGCGCCGCCGCCGCGACCCGCTCTGCTCGTCTCACCGCGCTCTGGAGCGCCGTTGCTCGATGCGGGCCGGCCGCTGCCGTCGCCACTGCCGTCGCCACTGCCGTCGCCGTCTGGGTCGTGCGAGGTGAGGTCGTGGATCCGCTCTGGCCCCGGCCGCCCTCTATCTACCACCCGCGCGCCGCCTTCGACTAGCAGCGCATGCACCAGCGGGTCCGTCTCTCCGGCGTCGCGTGCGCTGGCGTGCGAGGCTGGCGCGAGCAGCTCGGTGAGAGCAGGGTTGGCGCGCGCGGCCAGCGAGCGGAAGCAGCCGCAGCGTGGCAGGCCAGCGACGAGGACCGGCTCGCCAGGCAGGCCGTCCAGCCGCATCACCGGCCCGACGCAGCCGCACTCCCGGCAGTGGCTTCTCGGCGAAGCGGGCTCCATACGTGTGTACACACTGGCGAGGTACTTCCAGCCTGCTGTGAAAACAGGTGACCAGTCTCGCCGAGGCTCGCCCCAGCACTCTCGGGTTGACTCGGCCAGACTAAAACCTCGAGAGGCGTGGGAGTACCTCGCCAGTGTACACATAAATTTTTTTCCAACAATATACCTAATATATTCAGTCCCTGCATGCACGCGGTGCTCTTCTTTATTTCTTGGAAAGAAAAATAATCTTCAAAGTTTCCCGGTAATCTGCTCGGGGCGGCGGCTGGTCCCCCGGTCAGTTGCAACCGTGTGCCGAAATAGATGCTCGCGGGCAACCAGCGGGCCTCGCTGCTCTTGCTCATCGAGCAGAGCGCGACTCGCGCCGACACAACGTTGCGTCGCGAGCGGGCGGCAACGAGCCTCCAGGCTTGTGAGCGAGGGAGGGTCGCCCGCGCCCGCGTCGCTTCGCCTGTGAGTCAGCGGCAGGTGCGGATGTCCGTCTCGCCTGGGACCTTTGCAGCGGCGCCTGCGACCCCGTCAGCGACCTCTGCAGCGGCGCCTGCGACGTCGGTAGCCCCTGCAGCGGCAGCCTGGACGGCGGCTGCCCCGACAGCAGCGGCGGTTCCCGCCACCACCGTCTGCACCACCGTCGCAGACAGGGCGAAGCTGGCTCACCTGGAAGTTGTGACGAAGCTGGCTACCCTGGAGTGGTGGTGCTTCGGCACGCCCTACACTGCCTTCCGCGAATCGAAGACGCAGAGGGTCAGCACCGTGGCCACCCCTCGCACGGCAGGGGGGAACCGCTCGCGGGTGGCTGCCCCCGACGCCACCGGCGACGACGACGAGATGCCGCGCTTCCTCCATGACGCAGAGGCGCAGCTTCGCCAGTTCCAAGTGTGAGGTGGTCACCCCTTCATCCAGCAGCGCTCGGCGCCGGCGGTCCCGTGCTCTCCAAACAAACTGTGCACAGGACCCCTACTCTCAGGGGTCGTGATCTGTGCGTACCTGTCTCTGTCTCTCGGTCTGCGGTAAGTACGGGTCTGGTCCGTCTGGTAAGGGACCTTCTTTGCCCTATTATTTTGTATACAGGGAAAACATTTTTCTTGAAAAACTGCTAAACGGCAACGCGCACAGTTTTATAAAATAATAAAAGTTTTCCCATTTCCGAAAACGGTAAGAGGACGCGGGAAATACCTCCAAATAACACAATATGAGAAAATAACTCGAGGTGCAGGGGCGCTCACCACCGTCCACGGTTCAGAGGCTCGGATGTTCTCTTCTCCTTAGACGAGCTTAGTCGCGACCCCGCGACGCCGAGGAAGAAATAACGCACTTTCTTTTCGTTGGACGTTGCATTCTGAGTGCATCCTTTCAGTGTGCCGCCTGTGTTAGTGCCAGCACGTGCCAGTCGCAGTCCGCGCCTGTGTCGAGCCTGTCTGCTGTGTGAGAGAGTTGCTTGGGGGCACTTGGAGCACTTGGAGTGCAGTCAGTAACCTCACATCCAGGGCCGGGGAGCTAAGAAGCGCACCCATTGGGTTAGTTAAATTCTTCAGCAGCGTGGAATTTTGTTATCCCCCCCGCCCCATATGAACACACCAGAAGAGGGAGGGCGAGACGATCGAGGGGTCCCGTACCATGCGGAATCATCCCAGTGCCGAACAGCGCAACAGTTAAATTCGCGCGACCAAAATAGGAGCGTCATTTTGTACCCCCTTTTCCCCTACTTCGTGGGGACCCCCCCGCCGGTCGGATACACCGTCGCAGGTGGTCTGCCCCCGAGGTGGACCGGACCCCCCCTCCGGTCGGTCGCTCTCTCGGCGACGGGAGATGTGACGACCAACCCCCCCCCCCCCCCTCGGTCGGTCGGTGTCCTTGCCGTGAGCCCCCTCAAACGCTCTCCCTCCTTCTCTCGCGAACCGCCACGGGCGGTTCAAAATCGCCGCCCGGTTTTCACTAACTATGAAAACTAGTTACGCAGCCAAGCGCCAAGGAGACTTCTTCGCCGAGGCCCCCGCGAGCGAGCCCGACTCCACACACACTCGAGACACACATATGTGGAGTATCCACGCAGTCGCAGGCCTGATCCTGCTTGCCGTCGCTTTGTACCTCGAGGTACAAGCTCTGGCAGCGCTCCAATTCTCCACAGTAACGCGCGCATCGTCCCTTCCCTCCCTCCAGGAGTTCTACTGCATGCTGGGCCCGTGGGCGCGCGGCCGGCAGAAGGAGGTGCTGGCCGCGCTCAAGCGGCTCGTACAGCGTGTCGCCGGCGAAGCTAATCGGACGACGACGACCAGAGCGTGCTCATGGACGACGGCTCGTGTTGCGATCCAATCCTGAGCGTCTCGAGCTCAACTCGTCGGACGACGAGGATTGATTAATAGGCGGGGAGAGGGCGCTTGGTGTCGCTCGAGTAGAGAACTAATTTATTCACAGCTGCGGCGAGGGTGTGCGGTGTGACCCTCGAGCCAACCCGACCCGCGACCGACCCCCCCCCCCCCACCCCCACCCCCCCCCCCTCGGTCTGCGGACTGCGCATCTGCGCTCCGACCGACCGGACCCCCCCTCCGGTCTGCGGTCTTCCGCGGCCGCCGAGCGGACCCCCCCCTGCGGTCGGTCGGTCTGCGCTGGGCGCTCAAACCGCGAACTCGGCCTGTTCACTACAAGCCTTCATAAAATTCACCCTCGGGTATGTATGTGTTTCTCTCTCTCGGGTACGTACTTTTAGCTTACTGGGAGACAAGGGAGGGAGAGGGAGGCGCGATTTCTAGGCCCTTGGGGGCCCTCTCTCTCTCGGGTATGTTCGTAAGAGCTACATACACTGGAGAGAGAGAGACCTCTCTCTTTTCTCCCAGTAAGCTATAAGTACGTACGTACACTGGAAATTCGTTTTCGACTAGCGGACGTCCTCTTCATCTCTCTCTGCCCCCGCCCCGCGTGTTTGGTTCCCATGCAGAGCGTGCCGGAAGACCAGGACCTCGACTACGAGTACGGCACGGATCTTCGTCCAGGCACGCCGCGACGCGAGGTCCCAATCTTGGACTTGAACGACCTGCACTCGGCCGATCCGGAGACCCAAGCGGCTGCCCTCGCCGAGCTGGACCGAGGCTTCCGCAGGTTTGGCGTTGTGTATGTCAAGAACTCAGGCTTGACGAGCGAAGATCTGGAGGACTTCTACCGAGTCTTTTTGGCCTTCACGGACCTCCCGCGAGAAGTCAAGGAGAAGGTCTCCGGCAGCGACGTCTGGTTCCAGCGCGGCTGGATGCCGCCATCGACGGAGAGGAGTGGTGGCACAGCAAAGCACATGGAGGCCTACTTTGCAGCCACGAGCGATGCGGACCCCCGCACGCAAGCCATGTTCCCGCAGATCCAGGCGCCGAACCGCTGGCCCGACGGCTGGCCGCGGTCGGACGAGCTGCGTGAGAAGCAGCTCGCGATCAGCCGGGCACTACAGCGGGTCGCCGTTATGTTGCTGAGAGGTGCGTGCCATCCCTTCGCTGCCCCAGGATTTACCAGTCACACCACCCATGGTTGATGTACTCAGGGGTCGCCTTGAGGCTGGGCTTGCCGCCCTTTGCATTGGAGACGCTCGCCTACGGCGGGCCACACGTGACGCAATCGACTCGTCACCTGCCCATTCCCGCGCCCAGCGGCGAGGAGCAAGCGGTGTGGTGCGAGGAGCACACCGACTACAACATGCTCTCAATCATCCCCGGCGCTCGCTTCTTCCAACCGGGTGAGATCAAGGAGTTTTGTCCCCCACCGCTGGATGGAGGAATCCTGCCTCCTGCGGGTCTCTACCACCGCGGGCGCCCAAGCCAAAGGCACCCAGAGGGCGAGATGCTGCGTGGCAAGCCGCCAGAGGGCTGCATCTCTGCACAGGTTGGTCAGAGCCTCGAGGTGTTGACGGGCGGCCGCTACCTGGCGACGCCCTTCATGATAAAGGCGATCACTGGGTACGAGCGCTGCTCCGTGCAGCACTTTTGCCACGTAAGATTAACGGAAACGCTCTTTCCGCTGCCCGAGCTCGCCGACGATGCTGCCGTCCGAACCTACTCACCCCCCGTTCTCGCTGGGACCTACAGCACGATGAACTTGGTCGATATTGGGCTGGCACCCAGCACAGCACTCGGCCTTGAGGGGCGGAGCGACAACCGAGCTCACTCGACAAAGAACGCTCATGCCGTGCCCGAGAAATGGAGCGAGACTCCATGTCCAGAGATCGCAGAAATTGAGGTGGTGACGGCCTTGCCGACAACAGGGCCTTCCACTGGGACGCCAGCCCCCCTGCCCCTGCCCCCCTTTACACGTAGCAGCGACGTGGCACCACGGGCACAGTACCCCAGCTCCGCGCCACTGCCAAGGCGTCGAGTGCCGCCGCCGCTGCTCGTTGAGCGCGGCGCACGAGGCAGCATGTAGGTCGGTGGGAGCCAGTTCCAAGCCCTCCTGGGCCAAACTCTGCACGATATACAGCACACACGACCCACAACACACAAACACCACTCACACCATTCACAAAATATGGTAATATGTTATTAAATTAAAAAGGATGACCGGCTAGACCTTACCGCTGAACGTCATGCCCGCTCCCGCCCCGACACCCTCCCCAGAGGGGACAGCGACAGCGTCGTCGGACTCCAGCGTAGAGCTCTTGTCCCCACCCCTTCGTCTCAGCCTCGCCCTTTGCCACAGCCACCATGCCACCGCGGCAAGCAGGATGGTGGCGAAGGCGGCTATAGCCGCAACGCCGATTTTGATGAACCGCTTCCCGATGGCGCCGATGGCGCTGCCCGCCTGCTCGAGGTCATTCGCACAGCCGGCGCAAGGCGGCGAAGGCGAGATCGACGGCGGCGGGGAGGGTGGTGGCGGCCGGCTCGGAGGCGGCGGTGGTGGGGTTGGGGACGACAAGGGGGGTGGGTCCGGCGACGGGGTCGTGTCGTTGCTCGGGCAACCGTCGCATCCGGGACAGGCCTCATTCCAAGTGCCACAAACGCCGACCGGGCCGGGCGACGGCGTCGGCGACGGCGACGGCGTTGGAGAAGCAGGGTCGGGAGCGGTGCCGCCGGTGAGCTTGCTGAGGTAGCCCTCGTAGTTGGCCCTGCGCACCGCCGCGCCGGAGCCCGTCCAAGTGCCGGGGAAGGGCGCGCTGCAACCGCTCTTGATGCAGTTCATCGCCGTGTCGATGCGGTGATCCTGCAGATAGTAGGGCGAGACGCTCATCATCCAGTAGGCGAGCGAGCCGGCCCAGAAGGTCTGGCCGTCGTTGCAGATCGAGTCGGGGTCGGCGCAGATGTCGATCTCGAGCCCAATCTCACGGAGCAGGGTGTTGGCCTTGGCGTAGTTGCAGTTCCAGGTCAGCTGCAGCGCGCCCTTGCCGTACCAGCAGCTGTCGCCACTGTGCGGCCGCCCGTCCCAGTCCACGCACGTCACCTGCCCCGACGTGCCGCACGCGTCGGCGGGTAGCGAGCCCGTCTTGTCGAAGTTGTCTGTTGTCGGCACCGGCACTTGATAGCACTTCCCCCAGAGGGCGTCGCGGTAGTCCTCCGCGTTGCCGCCCGAGCAGACGCCCTGGCATGGGTTGATGTACTCCGCACAGGCCACGAAGTCTGCCGACTCCTGCGCGGCATTGCCGAGGAAGGCGGCGAGCGTGAGAAGGTTGTTGCCGGCGTCGGCCTCCGCAAGGAAGGGGATGGCGGCGAAACGTGCGTTCCACGCGACGACCACCTCGCAGAAGTCCTCCCACGTCGCTCGGCTCGACCCGAGGAGTAAATCCGCGTCCGGGTTGATCCCCTGCTGTTGGATGGCGGAGTGAATGCTGAGGCTGCTGCAGGCGTCGGAGGACATGGGGACAGCAGACGGTGACTGGCGATGCGGGGGACCCTTGGCCTGTGGTGCCCTGGCTTCAAAGAGGGGCGCGGAGAGGGCGGCTTCAGCTGGCTAAAAGAAAAAACACTTCTTCGTGCTTACGCACTCTTCACACTCCTCTCCTTCAAATCCCTGTGTGGTGGCGGCGTGCCGTTCTCCCATCCCTCCCTTGGGTTGTGTGTTTTCTTTCTTTCTTTACACACACACACACACACACACACACACACACACACACACACACACACACACACACACACACACACACACACACACGCACGCACGCACGCACACACACACACACACACACACACACACGCACGCACGCACGCACGCACGCACGCACGCACGCACGCACACACACACGTCCCAGCTCCCCAGAAATCCCGTGCGAGGAGCCGTGCAGTGCCTAGATAAGTCTGTGTGCTGTGTGGTGCACGCCCTCCGAGCGGGGCGGGGTCTGCCCGTCGGGTTGCTGCCCTAATCCCACCAGGGGTCATCTTATTTATTTATTTACAGGGGCTCTCACAGCAGTCCTCGTTTTCGACTTTGGCCGCCCCGCCTCGGCCAGGTGCGTGGTCCCCGACCCAAAACTCTTCGCCGGCCCCAACCAGCTCGACCGACTCGACCGCCAACCGGCTGGGTTTGGCCGGCGGCGCGACGCGTGGCCTGTGCTGCGGCCATCTCGGACGTTCAAGCGGCGCCAGCCAGCGGCTCGGCCGCGCATCCTTCACACACACACGCCGCCACGACCGGGATGAGAGACCCCGGTCGGTGTCGAGCCATGGATGGTGTCTTGGTGTGAGCTGCATGTGCGGGGCGGCTGTGGCCGCAGCAGGTCCGCCAGACGGGCGACAAAGCTTGCCGTCGGTGTGCTGTCGTGGGCGGTGCCCGAGACCGCGCAGAGAAGCCGAGCGAGTGCAGTGGTGAGCCAGAGGCTACCTGGGTCACCAAGTGGTGGCCCTTGCCCCATTCTGAGAGTGATTCACACACGGATATTCTTCATGTATTTTAATATCAATGTGTGTTAACGCTCAGCGCTATCGTACGTCAATAACAAGGTCTGTGTGTGAAGGATCTCTAGATCCTTCGGCACCTCCCTCCCGACAAGACGGTGTCCCACGCTCGCGTCGTCGACGCTGCGCTCACCCGTGCCGCTGAGGCGTGCGGCTACGAGGGCGTGCTCGGCGACGTCATCACCGCGCGGCGGGCTCGCCTGCCTGCGCGGATGCGCGGCCTCGGCCTGCGCTCGCTCGAGGAGGTGGCGCCGGCTGCGTTCTGCGCCTGCTTTGTCGAGGCGGCCGAGAGGTTCCTCGACAGGTCGACGCCCGGCGGCGGCAGAGAGCGCGGCTTCTTCCAGATGCTCGCTCCGCTCTTCGGCCACGGCGCCTTCGAGTTGCCGTACCCGAACAGCCCTCGCCTCTCGCGCTTCCTCTCGGGCTGCACCACCAACGTCAACCCGCTCGGCGCGCAGCTGGGGCAGCTGACGCCGACGGGCGAGTCCTTCAAGAAGGCGTGGGAGGGCATGCAGCGAGAGGTCCGCGGCGAGGGCGTGGCGGGACCTCTCGATGTCCGGGCTCCCGAGGCTGGCAACGGGCGGGCCGGCAGCGCTGGGCTACAGCGGCAGCTGACGCAGCAGCGGGAGCAGGTCAAGCGCAACCAGCTCAGCCGCAGCATCCTCGGGCTGCCGCACGGCGACACGCGGCGGGAGGCGTGGCTGGCCGTCGACTCGTTCTCGTCCGCGTGGGTGAGCTCATGGCCCTCGGCTCAGAACCGGTGCGAGGCGCGCGAGTTCCGCGAGATCTTCTGCACCTACCTCGGCCGGGAGAGCCCAGCCGTGCGCGCGCTCGTGGGCAAGAGCATCGCCTGCTCCGGCCGCGGCCCTCCTCGAGTCTGCGATGCCTTTGGCGTCCAGCTTGAGCACCGGCGGCACGCAAGGCAGATGCCGGCGAGAGCAACTGTCGCGACCGCGGCCCCGACGAGCGTCGCTATGCTCGTTTTGGCCTCAATCGGGTCCAGACCCTCGCCAGAGGGGGACAGCGGCGGCGGGGGCGGACTGGGTGGCGGCAGAGGCGGCGGAGGAGGAGGCGGAGGTCGGGGTGGCCGTGGGGGTGGCCTCGGTGGTGGATTGGGCATCGGCGGCGGCGGTGGCGGCAGCGGCGGCGGAGGATGAAAGCGCATGCCGCAGTCAGTGCAGTCATGGCCCAGCGCGCACGCCTGCGTCTGGGCGCCGGGCCCGCCATCATCACAGACGCCGTCGCCCTCGCGATCGCTGACTTCTTCGCTTGGGCAGTCGATGCCGCTCGGGTCGGCTGCGCAGCCCTTCGGGTGGCAATCGTCGTAGCACAAGTCTGGCATCGGCGGCGGGCTCGGTGGACTGGGCGGTGGTGGCGCCGGAGACGGCGGCGGCGGCGGCGGTGGCATTGGCAGCGGCGGTGGTGGCGGCGGAGAGGGCGGCGGCGGCGGCGACGGTGGCGAGGGAGGCGGGGATGGCGGTGGTGGCAGGGCTGGAGGCAAGGGTGGAGGAGGCGGGTGCGGTGGAGACGGAGGCGAGGGCGGATGCGGCGGCGAGGGCGGGAATGACGGCGGTGGATCCGGTGGGGCTGGTGGCGAGGGAGGTGACGCGAATGAGCAGACGTGGCGCGATGCGACACAGCGCGAGACCCCCGTTTCGGAGTACTGGGGGCCGAGCCACACGCACTTCCTGATCCTGTGCATGCCTGTTTCATCGGCTGCGTAAAAGTGCTCGCACGTCTCCTCATTGAGCACTTTGCAGCCCTTCCACTTCCACTCCCGTATGCCCTTTGGGCACGCGGCGCAGCTGATGTCGCAATGGAATGGCGGCGGAGACATGGGCGGGGCAGGGGGGGTCGGCGGGGGCCGTGGAGGAGGGCGAGGAGGGCTTGGCGGTGGGTGCGGGAATGGCGGCGGCGGCATGGCCGCCGCCCCGGCCACCAGCGACAGCAGCGCCATGCCGAAGAGCCGAAGAGACTAGATGCGGCGGGCGGGTGCGGCGGGCGCCTCGGCTCCACAGTCGCTCGCATGAAGACATGTGATCTGGAGAGAAGTGTTTTTTGTCTGTAGCTCTTACGTAAAAGGTACATACCCGAAGGTGGACTGCTGACAGGGTTTGCGACGAGGAGCGACTCCGAGGGGTGTTTCGGGCTCGGTTTTCAATTCTTGCATCTTGGTGGTGGTTGGTGTTGCGTGCGGCTCCCGGCGGCAACATCCACATCCGCTGCTGCTCCTCTGATATTGTGGGGGTCGGCACGTTATATCTGCTATCAACACTCTTACTTATCTCTTTCTTTCACACACACACTCACACACAAACCTCTAGACACAAACACAAAGACTCAAGCAAGAGTGAAGAGACAACAAAAACACACACACACACACACACACACACACACACACACACACACACACACCACCACCACACCACACCAAACAAGAAGGAAGGAAGAGTTGGTCCCATGTGCATGTCCGTCTCCGTCTCTGCCCCACCCATCGGCCCCATAGCCCCACGGCATTCAAAGTGCAAGCACTGGCCCGGTGCACGTGGGTGAGCAGCCTGCCCCTCCCTCCCGACAAACCAGCTCCCGCACACACACAATCGCACTCTGGCCATCGAATGACTCCGAATGACTCACTGTGTGTGCTAAAACAGAATCTCCGCAGACAGCCAGGTACACGTCAAGCTGTGACAGGGACACGATGCCGCCGACTAGAGCGCCAACTGCGTCCATCACTTGTCGCCGTGATCGATGACCGTATCCTCATCGATGAACATCCCAGGAAGGAGGACCACAAACATAAAGGCGGCCATGACAGCCCACGCGACAAACATGGCTTCGCCCATGTCATCAACCTTGAAGGGCAGCTCAAACCAAAGGAACGACGTAAGAACAGTCGCGCTCGCGGCGAGCGCGTAGGGCAGGCGGTCAGAGAACTTGGGCGGCGTGTAACGCCGTGCCGCCGTGGCCTCCAGGGGTTCCGCAGCGTTAGAGACTCCCAGCTTTTCCGGCTTTCGAAGAGCCATATAACCACGTGAGGGTGAGGCGAGTCGTGAAACGCCGCGGGCAGTCGTGAACGCCGTTCACAAGAGAAAATACCTGATGTGGGGCTTTGCGCTGGTCTGTGAGAGGTTGAGGTGCGAGTTCACATAAGAAACAAGAAGTTCACATCTTCACAGAATCAATACACAACGAAACACTCTGAAAGAGAGAGAGAGAGAGAGAGAGAGAGAGAGAGAGAGAGAGAGAGAGAGAGAGAGAGAGAGGGAGGGAGGGAGAGAGAGAGCGCGCGCGAGAGAGAGAGCGAGCGAGCGAGCGAGAGCGAGAGCGAGAGAGAAAGCGAGCGAGAGAGAGAGCCTGACCGTATAAGAGAGCAAAAAGGGCTCTGAAACTGCTAATAAATGGTGATGCGAGAAGCGAGAGGAGGGGCAGGGCATTCGAGGACCACGGTCCACGCCAACGGCGACGCTATCACGACTTTGTTGCCGCTGGGGCCGCTGCCTGGGCCGGTTTCTTTGCTGCAGTTGGTGCCGGCGATGGCGCCGCGCTGTTACTGTCTACTCCCGCCTTTGCCTTCGCCGCGCTGTGAGCTGACGTCGGTGCCGGCGCCGGCGCCGATTTCTTTGCGGCAGCTGCTGGTGCCGGCGACGGCGACGCGCTTTCCACCCTTGCCTTCGCCTCGCTGTACCTCTTCTGCCTGTGAGCGACAGCGTGGCGCAACTCAGTGGCGATAATACTTTAGAATCTGGGGCGCCTCCCTTGGGGTCCTCGCCTCGCGGGAAGCAGCGTCTTCTCGACGTACTTGCGACACGCGTCGTGCGTTTTAGTGGGGACGGATAAGCCACCATAGGACCCCGGCTGGTCGCTCGTGCCTTTCCCTCTCGGCTCGATCTCTTCGATCTTGTCACCCTCGGCGACGAACATGACCCACGCGCTGCTTAGCTTCTTGGCCCGGGCGTCCGCAGCATCTCTGTGGGCGAACCGTGACTCTCCTGGCGGATTGTTGATGAGCACGTACTCCTTCTTGGCAAGCTTGGCGAGAGTGACCTTCGCCTCTGCCGCTGCAGCCTCAGAGGCCCCTGGCGCCGCTGGCGTCGGTGGGGCCGCTGACGCCGCCACTGCTCGACCTGCTTTCTTGTTGAGTGCCTCCCCCTTGACCTGAAGCGCCTCCATCGTGAGCGCGTGAGCCTGCTCCATCATGGCGATCACATCCGCGTCGGTGAGGCCTCTGGTTTCCAAGCTCTTCATCTCTAGAAGAGCCTGAGTCGTGATGTCGATTCTCTCGATGTCCTCCGCATTCTTCGACTTGAGTGCCTTCATCTGATTGGACGCGAGAAGCTTTAGTTGACGGATAACGTGATGGAAGACATCGTCAGGAAACGGCTTGAACTCGGCGAGCGCGTACGTTACGAACTCGTGGCGCTGGACTGTGCTTACTGCGCCGTCCTTGCCTGCAACCTCTTTAAATTGCTGCTGCACCTCCTTGCCACCGTCCTCAGGCGGCAGGTACAGGGAGCTCCACGTGGAAAGGGTCACTGCGTCCTCCGCCCTCGGGTCGATCACGTCGTACAGCTGCCCGAGCAACACCTCACGTTTCCCCGCCTGGAGCTTGCCCGGCTGTCCGGTCGGACAGAGCCGCATGGGCAGTGGGAGGACTCCGGGCGGCCTCTCTCCACTCCGAGCCAGGGCAACCGCCGCGCCAAAATCATTCTGCCGCGACGGCGCCGTGCTGCTGTGGCCCAAAGGCGCGCCACCGACGGCGGCACGAGTGACGAACCGAATGTTCTCAACGTTGATGTTGCTCGGGATGTCTGCAGCTTCCTTCGCTCGGACTCCGACGCCCACGTCAAACTGGATCGAGTAGCTGCCGTCTGCATTCTTTTCGAGGATAGTGCCTGGATGGAAGTCTTTTCCCCCAACATTGGCCATGACATGCGTGCCGGCCTTCAGCTTACCTTGCGCTTCCGCCTCTGCACCCCCCAGCACATGCTCGACCACCTTCTTCAGGGGCATCGGTCGGTTGTGGAGTGGACGGCCGCGGCGCCAACGCATTTTTCTTTTTTCCCGTAGTGATCGCAAGGCTCTTGTACCTTAAGCGCGGTCGTCCGCGCTACATATCGCCTCGGCCGATACGTATCGCTGGAGGGTGCTATGCAGCGCCCCTGTGTATAGCGCCTGGCTGGCGGTGATACCAATCGGCGCCGCTCCATATCACCTGGTGCGCTTTAATCGGTCAGTGCTACCCATATCGCTGCCGGGCGACACGTATCGGCAAAGCGCTGCGCCCGCTCAACGAGGCAGGCGGGGAAAGAGCAAAGAGACACACCTCTCTCGGCTGCCAAACCCCAAACGTCGAAGTGCAAAGACAGGCGGTGCGTGAATTTCAATTTGCGTCTCGACTTGAAAACGTATGGGGTGTCTTTCCAGCACAAGCGCGCTGTTACGCGCCACAAGGAATGCATACGCATGTGAGCGTGTGTGCCACTATCCGGATACTTTGTACTCACTTCTCGGTGGCAGCGGCCCATGCGTCACGAAAGATGCGAATAGGTGCTATGGCGGTGCGATGCTGGCACGTCGAGACAGTTGGCGATGCACCTGACAAATCTAGATCGCCAGCCGCCGGCGGCGAAGGTGGAGGCCGACGTTACCACTAGATGTGCGAGCCTCTTTGGGTGTAGCCGCAGGTGACCGTTGCCATCTGGTGCCACGAGGAGGAGCGCCCCGTCGTTGCTCACGTCGTCGTGCGTGGTAAAGTAATTGCGCGCGGAGAAGAGGGTGACAAGACGGCCGCCGTGCATCACCTTGTAGCCCTGCCGCACAAACTGGTGTGAGCGCACCACCACGCTGAGCTCGTTCGCCTCGCAAAAGGCCTCGGTCACGTCAGCGCCAAACTCGGGAATATCCTCACCACGCTCAGACGAGTGCACGCCACTGCGCATCACCGAGTCGGAGTCGCTCGGGTCGCTCCACAGAGCCTGCAGTGTGACCGCGTCGTAGTGGTCATCGCTCAGCGGCCGCTGCACCGATCGCAGCTCGCGCAGGCCCCAAGACCCGTCACCGATGCCGCCATGCACGACGAGTATGCGCCTCTCGACAACGGCACCGAGCGGCAGCCACTCGAAAGCCTCGTGGATGGCATCGTAGGCCGCAGTCCAGCAGGTGGGCAGCCGCTCCTTGCAATGGTGCAGGAAGCCGTCTGGACCCATCGCCTCGTTCATGTCACGAAACTCGTGGTTGCCGCGCACGAGGAAGATTCGCGACGGGTACATGGCCTGAAGCATCGAAGCCGGCCGCTCGCGTGAACAAGGGAGAGCGGCGGCAGGGCGAGGGTTGGGGCGAGGGCGAGAGCGCGCGGTGGCGCGCGCCTTGAGCGCAAAGAGGACCAGGACGCACTCGAGCTGGTGCGGCCCTCGGTCGACCCAGTCGCCGTTGAACACGTACGAGATCGCCTGCACATCGCCGCCCTTGTGCGTCGGCATGCCGTACCAGCCAAAGAGCAGCATCAGATCGCGAAGCTGCCCGTGCACGTCCCCAAACACCTTGCACGGCGCAGGCGCGTGCACAAGCCCAGGCTGCGCAGCGAACACACGCTTCACCTTGGCGGCGAGGGAGGCGATCGCCTGCGCCTGCGCCTTCTCCTTGGTCTCGCCAAGCAGCGCGATGAGCGCTTCGGTGCCGCCTCGGCCCATCAGCCACGCGTCGCACGGCCGGTCGGCCTGCGTGCAGACGTCCGCCGCCCAGCTGGTGGCCACCTCGATGATTCTCGTGGCGAGGTGGAACTCCTTGCACGAGCGCTGCAGTGCCAGCGGGCCGCGCCAGCCGCCGACGGCTCGCAAGTCGGGGTGGAGCTTGAGCAGCTCGTTGACCGCGTTGCCCGGAATACCCGCAGTCGTCACGCCGTCCTTGAGGCTGTTGGCGTAGCTGTTGCGCCCCGACCTAGCCACCCACTGCTTTGCCGTCTCGGCGCGCCCATCGTAGACGACGCGGCGGTAGCTGGTGTTCGTGTTGAGCTGGCTGAGGCGGAAGCTTCGGGCCATGTCTCGGGTCGAGAGGTCGTGCTCTCGCAGCCGCCGCTCTAGCACCGAGTTGTCGCCGTCGCAGAGGCTGCGCGCAAGGCTCTCCACCGAGACCATGCGGCCGAGAAGCCCGGACGGGTCGGATCCATCGTCATTCTCCTCATCGCCCTGTGTGAGAGCCCTGGTCATGCGCTCGAGCTGTGTGGACTCCGAGATCTCGACCTCCCCACTGGCGTGCTCCGTGAGCGCCCTCGCGATCCGCTCGACGTGCCTCGGGCTTGCGCACAGGTCGGTCAGCCACGCGAGGATCTCGGCGCGGGAGAGCTTGCCGTCGCCGTTGGCGTCGTAAAAGTGCAGCACCGCCCGCAGACGCAGCGACTGGATGGCCTCGTGCTCCTCAGCTCCCTTCTCGACGCTCAATCGGCCCTCTAAAGTGTCGTGCCAGAACGCCTCACGCAGCAGCAAGTACTCCTGGCGGTTGATCCGGTTGGTGCGGTCGAGGTCTCCTGCGACAAAGCAGGCCCGCGCCGCGCGCCGGTTGAGCATCCAGTTGTGTGAGGCGGTCTCCACAAAGAGCTGCACGTCCATCTTCCCTTCGAGTGAGCCGGCTGCAAACTTGAACTCTTCATCCGACTCCTCACGCAAGCGTGAGCGATCACCAAGAAAGCCGAGCTGCCGCTCGAGTATGTCAAAGTCTCGCTTTGCAAGAGCTCGGTCATCCGCCTTTGGGGACTCGGCCGCCTGTGGCGGCCGCTCCGGTATCAGCGCATTCTCCGGGCCCTTGGCGCCGAAAGCGTCGTACATGCTTCGTTCGCGACGCTTGAGACCCGAAAACGTCCGTCCGTACCGGCGAGCCGAGTTCCCCCACCCGTATGTGGGTATCTTACCCGTTAGCTCGGCCTATGGGTTCTTGTTAGCAGGTCAAGACACAGAGCTCACACAAAATCACAGCGGGAGGAAAGCGGCGAGTCGCATTCCAGAGGGGTCGTTGTGGCGGGCCACCCTGTCCAGAGAGGCACGGGTAGGTGCCAAAATCTGGGGTCTTTTCGACCGAGTCTATGATCACCGAGCGATGGAGATGGTGCGGGAGAGTACGGGTGTTCCACGACACGCACCGACCCTTCACGAACCGAACGGCTGTGCCCAGGGAAGGCACAGTCCTTGGCGCCGGGATTGCGTGTCCGCCGTGTCAAGGCACAATCCCAAGGCACAATCCCAGGGAAGGCACACGTGTTCTTGGCGCCGGATTGCGTGTCCGCCGTGTCAAAAAAACTGGGACCAGGAACCGGACAAAGGTAGGTAGGGTATAGGAAGGTGAAGAACAGTCAGGCTCGGACTGGACACCAGCGCGGTATGGGTGGACGCTGGACAGAAGAGGACGGCACGCGCGAGCGACGCACAGACACACACAAGCTCACAAGACACTCAGCCAGCTGGGCTGCCACACATCCCGAGTGACCGTACGGCACTACGCCACTCGGGGCCACGTGCCCCCTGTCGCCCCCCCTGCACAAAGGACAAAGCTCAAAGGCCCAGATTGAAACAGAAAAAAAGCCCCGCGATAATATCTACCCTTATAAGTCTCTCGTGTCCGCGCCGACGCTCTTTTAACCGTAGAACGTCCCACCTGAACACCGCCCGCCGACGATCGCTCGATCGGTCACACCGCCATCGCCGTCGGGGAGAGGGGGGACGACACTGCTTTGGCAGCGTGCACCTCGTGTTTGTTATGACCCCCCCCCCAATGAACACACCAGTGAGGGAGGGCGAGACGATCGAGGGGTCCCGTACCATATGCGGAGAATCGACCCTACCTATCCAGTGCTCAAGTGCTCAAGTGGGTTGCGGGAAGAAAACGTCGCATTAGAAACCACGCCGAGCGATTTCCGCAAAAATCTAAGAAACCACGGCGCGCCGCAGGCGCGGCCCCGAGAAAACTCGCCTCGTCGCCCTCCCGCCGCCTCGCCGCTACCCCGCCCGCTCGCGCCCGACTTTCTACCTCCTCGTGATCCAACCCGCCACCCCCCTCGCCCGTCACCCTCCCGCCGCCTCGCCGCTACCTCGCCCGCTCGCGCCCGACTTTCTACCTCCTCGTGATCCAACCCGCCACCCCCCTGGCCTCGCCACCCTCCCGCCGCCTCGCCGCCACCCCGCCCGCTCGCGCCCGACTTTCTACCTCGTGCCACGTCACCCTCCCGCCGCCCCGCTGCTCGCTTGCCCGCTCTGCCCAGCCGACCGACGCCCCGCCATCCGTTGCCGTTATGCCGCCGCTCCTTTCCTGTCCGCCGTGCCGTCGTTCTTTACCATACCGCGCCGCCTTCCCATACTTCCTGCTTCGACGGGGTTTGTGTTGAGGAGTGACCCGTGCCGCCGTGTGCCCCGCAGCGGCCTCGCTGGGCCAGAAAGTCGGCCCCGAGTGCCCGCAGCAGCCTCGTTGAGCCAGAACGTCGGCTCGCGAGGTGGGTGCTAGTATGAGCCCGCTGAGGCGTAGTTAGTGCTCTTGCAGAGGCGGTTAGTGGTGCACTAACCCCGAGAAACCCTTCGGGCCACTCCTCATCGCAAACCCTGTCAGCAGTCCTCCTCCGGGAATGTACGTAAGAGCCACATACAATATTTACACAACCCCCTCTCTCTTTTCTCCCAGTAAGCTATAAGTACGTACAATATACCTACAAACATACATTGAGAGAGAGACATTGAAAAGGCCAGAAACGAGTGAACCCCGGGGTTGTGCGTTTACGTGCTCGGTCGGGAGCCCTCGCCCCCCGGTCTGGTCGTGGTCGAGACCGAGGTGTCGAACTGAGAGCCACTACTGGAGGCTACCTCCGGCCACCGCTCGACTACCCACGGACATGGCCGGTCCTGTGGCTTGCCTGGACTCGCTCAGAAGCCTCACTTCGTGCACACCTTTGCTCTCTGGCTCCCGCGAGTGCGTTCAGGCCACTCAAGCAGGCGACGCCGAGCACCCGCAGCGCATCTCGCCGGGGCGCCACCTATCGACCCGACTGATTGGCAGCATCAAAGCCGACCCCATGACGGCTTGGAGCGCTGCTGCCGACGCTGGTGCGCGCGAAGGTCAAGTCGCTCGCTAGCCTGGCGCTTCTCGGCCTGGACCAGCTGCAGACGGCCATCACCAGTGCGGGCGGCGCGAGGCTTGCCCCGGCGCAGCGAGAGAAGCTGAGCTCGCTGGGCCTGTGCGCCGCTGCGGCGCCGCCCGCGCCGGCGCAAATGGAGCGCGTGTGAGGGGCATGCGTCGGCTCAGACATGGGTTGGGGGTGGGTGGCGGGGTGGGGGTGGGGGGCAGGGAGGAGGTAGGTAGCCGTCTCGGCCGTGTCGGGCCGAGTTTGTCGTCTCGGCCCGTTGGGCACTGCCGCGTGCCGGCGTCCGGCCCGGTCTGCACAACAGTACAGGTACAGGTGCTAAGGTTCACACCGTCAGAACTCAGCTCCGCTAAGGATTGAGTGTCTGAGACTTGGGCATCTTACACAACTTTTGTAGTAGAGCACAATGGCACCCTTGCATCAAGTGCATCACTTCATTATTGGACCCTATTGGAGACCCCCGTTTTCGGCCGCCGCGGCCGGAGAGCACCCCCGTCGCCCCCGGGGGCCCGTCGACACCCCAGGCTGGCTGCTTCACGGGGATGCACCCCCCCGGACACATGCTGCAGCCCCGAGTGGATGTATTGGTCGATTGTGGGTCCCACAAGACTACTCTAGTAGGGGCCGGGCGCTTGAGCGTTGGCGGTACACCTGTGCAGATGTTGCACGGGTGAAATGGCTCCTCGTACAGGGTAGGAGGCAGGTGGTGGGTTTGAGTGTCGTGAGTGCTTGCAGCCGCGAGTACAGCACCGTTTGTGACTCCCATGGATGCAGTTGGGTGGGGCACGGTGCTGGGGGGCGGTCCGGTGCGCCACAACAGCCTCCCCGGCTCACCCCCATCCAGTTCGACACCTCCATCCCGACCGTGGAACCCCAACTTGAACCGGTCATATCTCGGGCGGACTGGCACCTCAGGAGCTCATCCTGGGCGGTTTTGGGGAGTATTGGGGGTGTACTTGAAGGTGGGAAAAAGAGTTTTGCACGAGATCTTAACTGGAGGACAGCCTGACCACCGTGAATTCTCTTCTCCTGACGCAGGTGCGGACGGCGCCCCGGCCCAGCTCTGGACAGCGCCGCTGGACAGCATGGTGCTTTTTCGTTCGGCGCGCTTACTCCCGCGGCTCTTCAGGCCGCAAGCCGTGGCGCGCCTGGCCGCAGCGCGCCGCTTGAGCACAAAGCCGCCGCCCTCCGAGCCCGCTCCGCCGCCGCCGCCGCCGCCAGCCGATGAGCCACCGGCCGGCGCAAAAGACGATGACAGTGACGCTGGCCTGCGCGAACGGCTGCTGGAGGCCGCGCTGAAGGAGGTTCCGGCGCACGGCTGGAGCGTCGCCGCGCTCTCCGCTGGCGCCGTCACGCTGGGCCTCTCTCCCACAGCGCACGGCGTCCTGCCACGCGGGCCTATCGAACTGGTGCGCCACTTTTCGGCGCAGTGCGATGAGGCACTCAAGAAGGAGATCGAGGCGAGGAGCGAGGAGCTGGGGGCGCTGGAGACGCACAATC